CTAGCATTGTGTCAAAGGGACCCTGTGGGGAGGGGGAGGAGGAGGGAGAGGGACAGGGGGAGGGGAGGGAGAAGAAGGAGAGGTCGGGGGGAGAGACTCTGGTTGCCATCGTTGCTGAACTTGATGGATGTCACCTCGTCCTCGTCGCCACCCACTAGCATCATGTCAAAGGGACCCTACGGGGAGAGGAAGGGTGAAAGGTTGGGTTGGAGGAGAGAGAGCGAAGGGGGACGGAAGAAGGGGAGGGGAAGGAGGGTGGGTGAAATATGATACATTCACTGCCGTTGCTGAGCTTGATGGATGTCACCTTGTCCTTGTCCCTGCCCACTAGCATCATGTTGAAGTGACCCTGTGGGGAGGGGATATGGGGAGGGGCATGGGTGTGACCAGGAACCATTGAACTGATGGAAAAGGGAATATGCTAATCACTGAACTTGATGGATGGACGTCACCTCGTCCTCATAGCTCCCCACTAGCATTGTGTCAAAGGGACCCCGTGGGGAGGAGATATAGGTGAGGGAAGGGAGGCGTTTGGGTTGAGGAGCCGTGAATAACCAGGGTTTTGTTGGAGGGAAACGAACAGGGTCTATGAAATTAAGATATGTCAAGAGACGAGAGCAAACGAACGGTCAGAATAGGACGAGGGGCCGCCACCTTACCACACACCTCCTCATAGAAGCGTGTGTCAAACAGCTTCACCATGCCTTCCCTCATGGCCCTTCCTGGCAAGCACAGGGTGATCAGGACAGGAGCGGACAACAGCTTGATAGCACTCACCTTCTCATACGAGCGAGCGTCAAACAGCTTCACCGCGCCCCCCCCCATTGCCACTGCAAAGACCAGCCCTTGTTGGTCGAAAGCCACTGCTGGCCGCCCTCTCACGCGCATTAAGCCCTGGAAACGAATGGATGGGTGGATGGGAGAATGCGAGTGATGGGGGTTGGAGGGAGGAAGGCAAGGATGAGTGAAAGAACCCCCTAAACCCGCATCAGGGACTGGAAAGAGGGGGTGGGGGTGATGGGAAGAATAAAAGGATGGGAGGGAGTGGGAGGGAGGGAGGGAGGGAGGGAGGGAGGGTGGGTAATGGAAGAGGAGAGAGACGGTGACACAAGCATAACAATGAGAGCCAAGAATCCATTGCTCTCTGCTTGCTCATACAATGCTGATCCACAGGTCAAACCACAAATGCTGTTCTGGAACCCGTATGATGCTGACCTGGCACCTGAACGCTGCACACCTGGCACACACATGCTGCTGACCTGGCACTCGCACGTTCTGAGGTCCCAGAGTCGAACGGTGTGGTCGAGGGCGCCTGAGAGAAAGGAGTCGTTCTTGGGGGACATGCACAGCGAGACAACTCTGTGGGTGGGAGACAGGGGCGAGAGATAGAGACAACAGCAGAGTACTGGAGGGGCAATGAGCTAATGAGAGTGGCGAGAGAGGGAATGAGTCGTTCTTAGGGGACATGCACAGGGAGACGACTCTTGCAAGGAGGGGAGGAAGTCGAGGGGGAGAGGGGGAGAGAAGGAGAGGGGGACAACAGAGTGTGCAAGGGCACCGGAGATGAAGGAGTCGTTCTTACATGCACAGAGAGACTTACTCTTCTGGGGGACGGGACCAGGAGGGGGGGGGGGGGGGGGAGGGAGAGAAGGGTCGACTGAAGTTGGCAGTAAAAGCACTTTAAAGCCAGGGTCTCAAGTAAGCTAAGGAGCCGTCAACTGCAAAGCAGTTGAAGCTAGGTTACCTAGTTATTGCAGACGAAGTTCTTTGTGGTTGGGTTGGAAAATCAGCTTGCGACACACACACCCCTGTCATTGCCCCAGAAGCGATTGCACAACACTTTTGGGTACTTGAGACTTTCGATGAGTTGGGGGCATTTTAGGTTTGGCTCCGAGCCAAGTTTCCAAGCCTAGAAGGTTTGGGTACACCCAGCGATTTCAGTTCCCTTCGCACCCCTTGCTTCAACCCACTTCAAACCTTCTACTTCGCTAACCAATCACAGCCAAATTTTCACCATCAACTGCAAAACACTTGTAGTACTTGAGACCCTGGCTTTAATATGGTGCTGACTGCAACACTCACTTGTCTTAGTGACCTGTGAAGTGAAGTGGCGCAGGTAGTGGTGAATCCTGAGAAGAAACAAATCATCTCAACCCCAGAGTGCTTTGAGTTGTCTCAAGGCAACTCAGAAGTGATTCGGATCTGTTGGTTACAGGAGCACTCACTCACTTGTCGCGGTGGCCTTTGAAGTAGCGCAGGTAGCGATTGTCATAGAGGGAGAGATAGCGCAGCGACTCTGGGATTGGGGAGGGAGGAAGGGAGGGAGGGAGGGAGGGAGGGAGGGAGGGAGGGAGGGAGGGTGAGAGGGAACCAAAGAGAGAACTTCTTAGAAAGTAGCGCAGGTACCCATTGTCATGGAGGGAGAGATAGCGCAGCGACTCTGTTGGAGGGGGGGGAGTGGAGAGAGAGAGGGAGGGAAGAAGGGAGGAACGGAGGAAGGAAGGGAGAAAGTGAACTTACCGTCCCAGCCGCTTAGACAGGAGTAAAGCACAGCATGGCAGAAACGTGGTGAGTTGCAGAAATTGGCAGCATAGCCACGCAGCAAAGTACTAGGCTATCATCCTAGTACCTACCAGCCAGATTTACGGTTTACCCACCCCGTCAACCCTGAACGTACCATCCCAGCCGTTCTTGGAGGAGTAGAGCACAGCAGAGGGGTGGTGAGTGAAGACAACCTGATCAACGCCGTACTTGCGGCTGTGAATCGTCTTCACCAGGCTGACGTGGCACAGGGAGAGGGTAACCATGCCACGCCATGCAGATTCATGATATAAGATGTTATGCCATGCAGTCAAAAACTTCAAATTGATCCAACCATGTCCATAAGTTCAGCATGCCACTGAAGTTCAAGAAGAGAAATGATCTGGAAAGAGTGGTTGCAGGAAAACGTGGCCTGGTTTGCATTCTACAGCAAACATGCAAGGAGCATCACGTCATGCTTACGTGGCATTTGACGTGTCATAGACTCGGATGGACTCGTCATCGCTCGCCGTCACGAGTAGGTCCTCCGTCCGATGGAAATCCATCGAGTTGATCCGACCATTCTTTTTGAACGGAAACAATGCCAGTGAAAGAAGGTGAAGCGGAAAGGTGGAAGGAAGAATGTGAGCAGAAAGTCAACGTAACGGGATTATGGGAACAAAACGCAGCGTTGAGCTTCAATTATTGAAAGACTTCAGCGACTGTGGAGGGTATCCCGGAAACGAGCCATATTTCGGAAGGTATAGACGAGAGAGAAATCTGAGAGGATGTATCACCAGCAACGAGAAAAGCGAGCGTGCCAACATTCACTAAGGACGGCGGGAGACGCTATACTAGTGCATCAGATGCGGAACCAAGGATGAGCGTACATAGTCGAACAAACAGAGACGACAAATTAGGGTGAACCACAAAAGCTAAGAGAACGCGCGAGCGCAGTCCTTGGACGACTTTTGAGCGCAGTCTTTGAACATAGACGACGATACGCTAGACCTATCGGCATCTCACTGAGTGGAGAGAGCATCCTATAAGTGGAGGGATCGAGCGAGCGAGCGTACATAGTCTTTAAAGAGCGCGCCGACAGCCATGCTGTTGACGACCCCATCCGACAGCGCTAGAGGCATCGCGACCGTCTGTCACTCTCCGTAAAAACGGGTGTCACCGAAGGAAACGCGTCGAAATTCTCCCACTCTAATTTTTTTATCAGGAACGCAAGTCACGTGGTCTCAAGGTCAGGTGGACGGTATCGCGAGATTCGTCTGGTGCGCTCTGCGCTTGTCAGTCGAGCCAAAGCCGTTCCCTTCCCCTGCCCAGCTATATGGATCCAACACTACGACAGGCACACAAGGATGCTATGCGGGGTTGTGCCAGAAAGATGAAGCCGCAGGAGAGCGAGAGATGTCAGGCACAACGAGGCTTGAAGTTGACCCCATAAGGATCGGTTCATTACAGGGTCAAGTGTATCGCTGGAAATCCGAGGCGTATGTTCCAAGTTTATCATTCTTCTTTGGATTTCAATTCAAGGCCCTCATTCACCACCAACATTTCCATCCCTTTACAAACCTTTACCCTATTTCATTTTCTTTTCTCCAACTTTTATCACCATGAACGATTTCACAAAGCAAAAACAGCATCAGAGATATGGATGCTCCCTCCCTATGTACAGACCTAGGCACAAAGCAAACCAATACTCTCTACGCGTTCACAATCATCCCGCCTGCACAATATGTAACACACAATTTGGTCAATACACTCTGGTAAGAAATACAACAAAATATTAGGTAGAAATTGAATAATTTCTTACCATTGGGGTGGAGCATTTGGCCGGTGAAGTACGAGGAGTCGTCGCATGCAAGGAACACATAGGACGGCGCAATCTCATCCGGCTGGGCCACCCTCTTCATGGGCACCTGCTTGCCAAACCCTTCCACGTGCTTCTCCTCGTAGGAGGCAGGGACAAGAGGCGTCCACACCGGTCCCGGCGCCACACCTGTGAAACAGCAGCAAGTTTAATGGCAGTTGAACATGCATCACTGACTGCACTTCATGTGCACAAGCCCTACCACCAAGAGTGATATATGCTTGTCACAATAAACGTATAATATCGGACCATTCACGTATACTGCAACGTATGAAAAAAACTGACGTGGTGTTGATGATGCAGCTGCCCTCCTTCATGTGAGGCAGCGCATACCTGCACATGCAAAAACAAGGAAATCATTTTAGAAACTGAGCTTGAATGCATCGCTTGCTTCACGATGGAGCGCCATGCTTACTGAAGGCAGTATGCATTTTACAACCAGGATAATGAAAACCACGCAAGAGAAATGCACGTGGTGAAAATCATTACTTTGCCATGTAGAAGTAGGCATGGATGTGCCAGTCAAGCGAGTGATGAAGTGAATACTTATGCCATGTGGAAGTAGGCGTGGATGTTGGTGAAATGCAAGTGATGCATGTGCCTACTTTGCCATGTAGAAGTAGGCGTGGATGTTGGTCTTGAAGGTGCGGTCCCACTCCTCAGGGGAGATCTCCTCGAGGGTCTTGTGGGTGTGCTGCTCCGCTGCATTGTTCACCAGCACGTCTATGTTCCCCCCAAAGTGTTCCGCCACCTTCCGAACCACCTGCTCCCAGGCGAGAAATTACGAAGTAAATAAGGAAAACAAGACAAACAGGACCAGAATTGCATGGCAAGTCCACCCATGCGACGAATAAGGGAAAACAATGAAAAAAACACAAAATTCAAAGTGCCTCAAGCACCATCTTCTTGGCAAAAATGATGTAATCAATAACATTTCACACAATTGACCAGTGCTAAAGAATATCCAATGAAGAAACAAAAATCTATCATGGTCTCACCTCCTTGCAGTTGTCAAGGAGCCCGAGGTCGACAGGAATAGCGAGCGGCTGCTTGTGCTCGGGGCGCTGGGCGTCCCGCAGCAAGCGGAGGGTCTCCTGGGCGTCCTTGTCCTCCCGCGGCGACACGTACGTGAACGCCACCGCCGCTCCCTCCAACGCGAAATGGTGAGCCACGCTCCGCCCGATTCCGGAATCCCCTCCCGTGATCAGCGCGATCTTACCCTGCAATAGAGAACAAGAGCAAGCAGAGGAAATAGACATCTTTAGGAGCCTCTCTGTTGCTTTTGATTCGTAAGCTCTGAGACACCTGTAAGAAAATCGAAACGTCTTGTAAGAAATCAATGCACTCACGCACGCATCTTGAGCTTGAAAACAGCTGTCACCTCCTTCAACCTGCACCTGCACGCACGTACCTTGAGCTTGTCGGCCGCCTTATACGCCTGGCGAGTGACGGACGGCCGCGGCTCCATCTCGTGTTGCACGCCAGGCTGCTGCGCCTGGCGCTGCGCGGGAATCGTCGTTGCCATGGCGTGAAGCTAAGCTGCGAGACAGAGTGATTTGCTGCTGCTGCTGCTGCTGCTGCTGCTGATGTAAAGCAAGCTGCGAGAGAAGCGCGAATGGAAAGCAGCTGGAAGCGAACGCCGGACAGGAGAACGGGAATTTGGAGATTGTTTCTTATGGAGGTAGTTATGTAAGGGAAAGGCTGGGAGCCGCGCTGCGCACGCGACGCCGTGAGAATACCCACAAGGAGATACGCCATTTCTTATGATCAATCCAGGCATGCAAATCTCCGTTCAGGCATGCCAAAATCAGGGATTAGGTGTGCATGAGAGAGCTGCGACGCTCGGACTGGCACGCTCTTAACAGCCTGCGAGCGACACGAAGACGAGAGATGGCATCGGTCGCCGTGGAAAAAGCTGAAATTTATAATTTATTAGTTTGTTGCATAACTGATAATATGTCGGCCCATTAGCTTAGTTGGTTAGAGCGTCGTGCTAATAACGCGAAGGTCACAGGTTCAAAACCTGTATGGGCCACAATTCGATCATCCCAGTTGTTGTAGTGAGCTCCCTACCATACCTTTATTGGTAGGGTATCAGTTTTTGGGATGCAAAAGGATAAGCCTATCGGAAGTTCATGATTGCCCTTCCTGGAACCACGCCCACCACCCTAGTGCCACAGCTGACTAACAATGTAGAGGATGCGCTTGGCCACCTGAGTTCTGCTGCTTCACAAAACGTCTCAAGGGCTGCTGTGATGGCGGGAGCAGAGGAACGTTAACCATCTTTGCTGACTCAGAAGCAGCAGCTAGCTACCTACAACATATAGAATGCGCTTAGTTGTCACAGGCCCCGCTGCTTCACAGAAGATCTTGAACGCTGCTGTAACGGCGCATGTGGAAGCAGAGGAAAGTTAACCCTTTTTGCGTCGACTCAGAAGCAGCAGCTAGCTACCTAACGACATAGAGAATGCGCCTAGCTGTCTTAGGCCCTGCTGCTTCACAGAAGGTCTTGAGTGCTGCTGTGATGGCGCGCGTGGATGCAGAGGAAAGCCATCCCATCTCCAGCAATTGCTGGTGGTGGGGTTGACAGCAGAAAGGGGAAAAGGGAGGGGTTGGCAAGAAGTGTAAACAAAAGAGGTTTTGGAAAACGCCAAACGATACGGTATCTGCCAACGGAGGCCGAGGAAAGCCAGCCTCACCCCACACATTCAGGCACTCGGATACAACTCGGCTGCGACACACACCCAGAAACACTTGCCCCCACACTCACCGAAAAGCTGATCTGCAAGGAGCCGTTGATGAGCAATGGCATGGCCAGCATGGCAATTGGATCACACAAGAGTCCAACCATGCTCAGACGCACGTATTCCCTCACTCACCGAAAAGCTGATCTGCAAGGAGCCGTTGATGAGCAATGGCATGGCCATCACCGCTGCTGCCACCTCCCTGCTCCTCTCCTGCCGCTCCTCCTCACTCAACTCCTCCGCCCATCTCTCCCCTCCTCCCCCACACTCACTCCCACCCACTTCCCTCCCTCCTCCCCCCACCCCTGTTCTCCCCTCTCCTTCCCTTCCTTCATCAACCTCCATCCCATCCTCCCCTCCCTGCCCGCCTCTCCTGTCGCCTGCAACCCTCCCCACCCCTCCTTGCACTCCGTACTCGTTAGCATGCTCTCTGCTATTCGCCTCATTCACTCCTTCCCCACCGTCACCTCTCTCAGCAGCAGCCTGTAACTCTCGCGCCTCTGCTCTCTCTGCTTCCGTCTGTCCCCCACCCACCCCTGTATACCCTCGCACTGCCTCTCTCGCTCCCTCCTCTCGGCCCGCCCCTGCCCTCGCCCCTTCTCCTTGCATGGAAGAGAGAGCCTGATGGTGGGAGCTTGTGAGAGAAGGAAGGCTGGCTGGTGCGTGGGAATGTTTCGGCAGAGCAGAGGAGAGAACAGCATAGGCGGAGTGGTCAAGGAGAGGGCGGGCGAGGGTTAACGGCACCCACCTGGTGTGGGGAATGGTGGTTTTGGGGGTGACAAGTAGGGGGGAAGGTAGGGGAGATGTTTAGGCATAGCGGAGGAGAGAACAGCATAGGCAGAGTGGTAGAGGAGAGGGCGGGCGAGAGCGGAAGGTGTCCACCTCATGGGAGGGGAGGGGAGGTGGGGAGGGGTAACTGGGAGGGTTGTGGGGAAGCGGTAGCGGCAATCGCCTGAAGGCACAATAAGTGGGCATTTTCACAGGCTCTTAAGAGAAAAGAAAAATGTTTCAACTAGACAAAGAAAACTGTGAGAACAGAAAAAACAGAACAAAACAAAATGAGGCTTACAGGTTTAAGTACCTACACCAATTGTGAGTTGATAAACCTGTCTAACATGCCTAAAAAACACTCACATGTAGCGCAGAGGGCAGAGAAGATCCGACGGTGCATACGCAGCCTTGTAAGTCATCTTAGGGCACGAGTGGATATAATACCCCATATAGTACGAATCCAGTAACAGATCAGGGCGCTGCTGCTGCTCGCGCTGCACCCACTCGATCTCCTTAAGCGCGGAAAACTTCCCCAGGGACAGAAACGCATAGTCTGGGTCCCAAAAGAGATACTTAGATGAGAGGCAGCGCGGGAGCACGTCCACCACCCCCACTGCCACTAAGCGCCCATCAATTCGGTACTGCTGGTGGAAAGACCCGTACCCACAGGAAGGGAGGGAAGTGGGAGGAGCGGAAGTGGGAGGAGCAGGTGGGGGGGGCACGTGTATGAGGGGGGTGTTGACGAGGAAATTCTCGTAGCCTCGTCTGGTGACGGAGGAGGGTTTGTCGTCGTGCACGTGGATCTGGTACTTGCGGTAGAGATCATACTCCTCCTGAGTGAACGCCGATGGGTGGGTTGTTATTTCTAGGCGTCGTGGCATGTGTCTCTGCCGCTGCCGCTGCTGGTCCTGCTGCGGCTGCTTTTCCTGTTGCTGTTGCTGCTGCTGCTTTTCCGGCTGCTTCTGCTCCTGATTTTGCTGACGTTGCTCATAATGCATGTCTGTCGTCATGCCACCACCATGAAGCAGAGCAGCGGGCGCCAGCACATTCACATGCCCATGCACGGCCCTCACACACACCCCTTCTGGCAGCCCCCCGCTCTGCAACGCCCCATCCGCTTCTGCTACTAGCTTTGCTGCAAAATCTTGCGCACTAGAGCTTAAAGAGAAAGCACTTGTGCCCACTCCTTCTCTGCTTGCTGATTGCTGCGCGGTTGTCACCCCTGGCTGCTGCTGCTGCAGCAGTTTCTTTAGCCCAGAGCAGATCAGAAACGCAATGTTTGACGTCAGCACAGGCAGAGGGGCAGACACACCCTTTTCCTGGCTTTCCCCTGCCCCTCCTGCCCCTTCCTCCCCTCCCTTCCCCTTGCCACTCTTCCCTCCCGTCTTTTTCCCTCCCCCCCCTCGCTCCCCTCCCTTCCCCTCCCCGACTCTCGCCCTCACGCTCACAGGAACAGATCTAAGAGTCACAGCAGGTAGCAGCAGGCTGGCGGGCAGTAACCCCTGCTCCCTCCACTGCTCTAACACCCCGTTTAAAGCCCCTTCCACACGCGCCTGCACTGCTTCCAGAGGTCCATGCTCCAAACCCTCAGTTAAAGCCCCTTCTATCCGCGCATTCCCTAGGGCTTGCCCCTTTGCAGGGTCCGAGTTTTGCAGCTTTGCACCTGAATTCGAACCTGAACCTGAACCTGAACCTGCGCCCGAGTTTGAAGCAGGGCCGGGAAGGCTAGCGGAGGAATGTCTGGGTCTGGGGGGCGGAAGGTCGATATCTCCACTAAGGAACCTCTCCATGCGCCTGAGCACCTTGCGCTGCTCCTTGTTGGGCTGAAACCGCCCCGCCACGAGGCGGATCGTGTAGGCGGGGCAGCAGGTGCGGGGCATGTCTGGTTTGTAGAGGAAACAACCCGACCGACGCCAGCCACGGTCCAACAGGTCTGCGTGGGGTGGAGGGGAAAGGGATGGACTCAGTAACCCAGTAACATGGTGTAGGCCGGGCAGCAGGTGCGGGGCATGTCCGGCTTGTAGAGGAAACAACCTGAGCGACGCCAACCACGATCCAACAGGTCTGTACGAGGGGGGGCGAGGAAGGGGGAAAGGGGTGGACTCAACAACACCACGGCATGGTGTAGGCCGGGCAGCAGGTGCAGGGCATGTCGGGCTTGTAGAGGAAACGACCCGACCGACGCCAGCCACGATCCAACAGGTCTGCGAGCGACAGGGGATGAGGGGATGGAGGCGGATGAAATTTAATAGAAAGGATAGGAGCAGGCGGATGGTGTAGGCGGGGAAGCAGGTGTGGGGCATGTCCGGTTTGTAGAGAAAGCAACCCGACAGACGCCAGCCACGATCGAACAGGTCTGCTTGTGACAGGTGAAGAATAAGAAATCATATAAGATATTATATCGTCAAAACACATTACTGTAAGCTGCCACCTTACCTTGATATTCCTGTACTGTCATCGTCTCCGCGGTTATTCCTGGAGAAGACGTAAGAATGGAAACATACAGAAGATCAGAGTATATTTTACATCAACAAAAAAGGAAAGGCTGAAGGCTGTACGGTGAAACGAACGGAAACGCTCATTCGGAACCCTGATGCGGAAATGTATAACGGAAACGCTGAATGTGGGGGATCCACACCATGGGAGTGGCTGGAGCCGCGAGCGCCTCGGCAGTAGCCGCAGGAGGAGGAATAATCGCCATGGTCCACCACGATCGTCCGCTCGACCTCCTGCTGTCGCTCCGCCTCTTCGGACTCCGAATCGGATTCGCGAACCCGCTGCTGCTTCGGCGGCTGCTGCTGCTGCTTACGCCTTCGACCCAGCATGCTCGCGAGAAAGGCAAGCAGATGTTAACCAACGGGGAGAGCGAGAAAAGGAACAGTGGAAATGCTGTCAGCAAACAGGAGTCACTCTTGACAGTGCTCTGAATGCCTGATCAGTTGTCAGCAGCAGCCATAACGTGACTACAATACCATCTCAGGGTGCGCTCCTATCCCGTGTCAGACGTCAGGTCAAAGCTTCGGAAGACACAAAGTGACTCGGTTTGTGTCTTCCGAACCTAAATTTGCCAGCATTCCGAGTCCCTTTGGGTCTTCCCAACCTTAAGTTCGTGTCTGGCTTCGTGTATGACACGGGATAAGAACGTACCCTCGATTCCCAAGTTTCCTGCTGGGGAGAGTCTGTCAACACAAAATTCACTTGTTGGGAGACTAACGGTTGAGTACGTTCCTGTGCCCTTTAGAGTTGTATTTGCAGGTAACCGCCTTTAACCGCTAATTATCTGTCTAAACACCGAAACTTGAAGAGGGCACGAACTTGTATGACACGCCCCGGAAATTTCCGTGAAGATCCAACCCACAATCCCAAGGCCGTTTGCTTCCGCTTCAAGTCAGAACACTTGTGGAACACTTGATCCGTCTGTAAGGAGATCGACTTTACAAAAAGTCACAGAGAGTTTGCCTACCATAAATGGAAATATAAAATTGGAATACTGTGCATATCAGCATAGATTCCATTGAAGATGAAGTACAAGATGATACAAGAAGTCCATAGTGCAACAGCTGTTGCATGCTGCATGCAACACCACAGGTTGTGAAACCTTCAGCTATTGTTAGTCCTCCAACCGTTGTAATTAGCTATCTAGTAATACAAAACCATCGAACCTTATTACCATGCTCAATGACCTTCCGGAGTCCCCACGCAGCGTTCACCAGCCAAGCTGTCTTGGCCGTCCCTCATTAACCTGCTCATGTCACAAGGATTGGTATCACAATCTCTTTCAGCAGCATCCCCACCATCGGCTTCTGTATTGCAATCATCAACCAACCCCCCTCTCCCCACTCCTCTAGCAGCACTCCCAGCGTCAGAATCAGGTGGGAATCCTGGCACTCGCTCAGTGTTTGCTCGCGAGTTACCACTATCTAGTGTATTTACTGTACTGCTATGCATGCTCCAATGAGTGTGCACTGCGTGCGCGGCACGGGAGCGAGGCTGAGGCATCGCATCCCACTCCCCGACACCGCTCAGCAAACCTGCTACAGCCTGTAGCTCTCGCATCACTTCTGCTACAGCCACAGGCCGCTGCTCCTGCTGCTGCTGCTGACGTGGCGGATGCTGATGAGACTGTTGCTGACGTGGATGGTGATGCAGTGGTTGCTGCTGGTGCTGGGGTTCTGGAGGCAGTTCGGAGTGTGCTTCCTGCTGCTGCTGCTGCTCGTGCTGCTGCTGATGCTGCTGCTGATGCTGCCTCTCCCCCCTCCCATCCCTTTCGGTGGGTCGCCTCTCAGCTTGTCCGACTGCCTTGCCACTCATGACGTCGCCCCTCCTATCCCCATCCCTCTCCATTCCCCCCACCTCCATCGCATCTGCCTCCTCCTCCTGCTCCCTTCCTTCCCTTGATCTGCCATCTCTTACTCCTCCTCCCTCTCCTCTCTCTCCTCCTTCTCTCCCATCATCTTTCCCTGATCTCCCTTCTCCTCCTTCTCCTCCTCGTCTCTCCTCTTTCTCTGCCCTCCCTTCTCCTCCCTCTTCTTCTCCTGAACTTCCCTTTCCTTCTTCCTCTCCATCCCCTCCAGCCCCCCCTGTCCCTTGTACAGCCCCTTCCTGGTGCCATTCCCCCCCTCTCACCCACCCTCCTCTCCCCCATCCACTCACTTCTCCCCCTCTCCCTCCCCATCCTCCTCCCTCTCCCACTCCACCACCACCACCCTCACTCACTCTCATCTCTATTGGCCTTCCATCGGTTCCCTCACTCCCTCCCTCCAAAACACGCCTCCTCTTTCCCCTTCCTTCCTCCTCTCCCCCTTCCCCTTCCCCCCCATGCCGCCTTACCCCTGCTTTCTCCCTCTCGCCCTCCCTTCTTGCCGTTCCCACCCCACCAGCTCCCCCCAAACCCACTTCCCCACCCCCCGTTCCCCTTCCAAACCCTCTCCCCTCACCCACTTCTCCACCACCCACTTTCAACGCGCCCACCCTCCCCTCTTCCGTTCCTCCCCCACCCATTCTCCCATCATCCCCCCTTCCCCCACCCTCACCCGCCCACCCTCCACCAGCCCTCACCCCACCCGCTCTCCCCCCACCAGTCCTTCCCCCACCAGTTCTCCCCCCACCAGTTCTCCCCCCACCAGTCATCCCCCCACCCGCCCTTCCGCCACAGCACCTGTCCAAAGCCGCGGCTACAGCCGCCGCTACAGCCTGGCCGGCCGAGGACCCGGGGAACAGCAGCAGATCCTGCAATAGCTGGGGGACACGTGGACTGATGGAGGGGGTGTCAGAGACACGTGGACTGATGGAGGGGGCGTCAGGGACACGTGGAGAGATGGAGGGGGCGTCAGCGTCACGTGGAATGACGGAGGGAGCGTCTGGGACACGTGGAACGAGAGAGGGGACGCTGGTGGTGGGGGGCAGGGCATGAGGGTCACTGGGTGCTGGCCTTTGCTGTAGCGCTGGCACGTCTGCTGACTGTGGCTTGGGCTGCTGCTGTGGCTGTGGCTGTGACTGCTGCTCCTGTTGCTGTGCCTGTGGCTGTTGGGCAATGGCTGAAGCAGGAGTGGCGTCAGCAGCAGCAGCGTCAGGAGGAGCAGGAGCAGGAGCGCTTGGCGCATTGAAGTCCGTAGCAGTGCTTGCTAGAGGGGCAGGAGGGACTGCTGTAGCAGGCAGGAGCTGTGAGGGGTGTGAAGGGCGGGAGGGGTGAGAGAAGTGTGAGGGCTCAGAGGGGTGGGAAAGCTGGGAGGGATGTGAGGGTTGGTGGGAGGAGTTGGAGGGAGGGGTTGTGGCGGCAGCAGTAGGCAGGGGTGGAGGCACGATGGCAGGATGCCAAGGGGCTGCTGCTGCTGCTGCTGCTGCTGCTGCTGCTGCTGCTGCTGCTGCTGCTGCTGCTGCTGCTGCTGCTGCTGCTGTTGCTGCTGCTGTTGCTGCTGACGAGCTTGGCGGGGATTGGTTAGGAGGCAGGCGGGAAGGGGAGTAACACGGGGAGGAGGGCATGACAGCAGGTGCAGTGCTGACCATGCTAACACCGGCGCCGCCATCCGCGCCAGCGTTATCGTCCGTGCCAGCTCTGCTGATGTTGTGACTCGCGCCAACTATGGTATGATACAGGGGAACTACGGCAGGAGAGGCGGCGTTTTCAAGCGTGCTGGTCGCGGGCGGGGAGACTCCAGTCAGCGGCGCGCTGTGTGGAGCGGGAGGGGAGGCACGAGAGGGCGCAGAAGGAGAGAACCCACTCAGCACCGCACTGCCCACGGGAGGAGAGGCACCACTCAGCACCGCACTCCCCGCAGGCGGGGAGACTCCGCTTAGTAGCGCGCTGTGTGCTGCGGGCGGGGAGACGTCAGTCAGCAGCGCGCTGGTCGCGGGCGGGGAGGCTCCAGGCGGAAAATCCGCGCGGGAGGCGGGAGTAGCGCCCCTTTCCGCAACTCTGCCTGCCTGCGGGGAGATTCCACTCAACAGCGCGCTGGCCGCGGGAGGAGAGGTGCCACTCAACAGCGCACTGCCTGCGGGCGGGGAGACCGCGCTCAGAAGCGCGCTGTTGGGCGCAGGCGGGGATACACCGGTCATCAGCGCGTTATCTGCTACTGGCGCAGAACGAGAGCCCCCACTGAGCAGCACGCTGCGCGCAGGCGGGGAGACTCCGCTCAGCAGCGCGCTGGTGGGCGCAGGCGGGGAGACCGCGCTCGCTGTTGTGCCACCGGCGGGCGGAGAAACGCCACTCAAAAGCGCACTGCGCGCAGGCGGGGAGTCTCCGCTCAGCAGCGCGTGACTGCCTGCTAACGGGGAGGTATCTCGCCGCAGCGCGCGCCGCAAGGGGGAGAGTCGGCTCCGCACGCCATGCGCGGGAAGCTTCCCCTCCCCGCCACCCTCCCTTTCCGCGCCCTCCGCGCTGCTGCCACCTGCGTTCCGCGCACGTTCCGCTGCTGCTCGCTGCGCATGCCCCCTCTGATGCGAAACCCGCCATTCCGCCGCTGCCTCCCCACCCCGCCACCCCCCCGCTCCCCCGGGCGTGCCCTCTGGTGCACCCCTCGCCGCCGCAGCAAACCCCCTCGAGCTCCCGCGGTCCTGCTCCCCCCACACGCATTCCGAAACCTCTGGCGGCGATATGCCAGGCGAAATTCCTGGCAATAAACCAGGCGATATACCAGGCGATATAGCAGGCGAAATAGCAGCCGACGTACCACTCCAAGTTACCACGCCTGGAGATACACCACGCCACGGTCCACGTTCGCCACCCACAGACCCACTTCCTGGTGTTACCTGGTTACCAGCCTCTTCTAGTGTGATACCCGAGCCAATGTCCGTACCCTGCTGCGAAAAGAAACGTCCTCGCTGGTTCCCTGCTTCGCTCATTCTCGACGTAATCCGAGGTGGTAACCCGCCAGGGCTCACTTCGCCTTCGCCAGGGCTGGCCTCGGTCCCGGGCTGCTGCCTGTTGCGACCCACTTCCTCCGTCGCCTCGCCATCGCCACGGCCGTGACGGCCCCATTTGCGATAATCTCGCTCAGCTCTCGTACTCCCACACTCCTCGCCTTCAAGAAGCTGTTCTTCCCCTGTCGCTTCTCCTCCTCCTTTTTCTCCTCCTCTTTCTCCTCCTCTTTCTTCCCCTCCTTCCCCTGCTCTTCCTTCTACTCCTTCCTTCCGCTCCTCTGCAGCCGCCTGAATCGCCGCCACCGCGGAAGCCGCCGCGCGCTGCCATACGATACTCTGCGGAGTGGCGACCGGTGTGCTTCCCCCACCCCTTCCCCCTCCCCCTTCCGCCGTCATTGCGCGGAACGACGCGCGATCGAGGACCGACAGTTGCGGACGCGGCGCACACTTCGCGCGAAATCTTTCCGCCAAGGTTCCGCCAACGGGCGGCGCGGAGGATCCTGGGCCGAGTATTCCAGCGGACGGCGGAAAATCTGCAGGTATCGGCGTTTTTTCCGCGCGGCCGTCCGCCTGCGCTGATTGCGCCGTAGCGGAGGGAGCCGCGGGAGTATCATCACCGCTATCCAGAGCTGCTATGCTAAAACGAGCGTGCTTATACCGCGGGCGAACCGCTAGCCCGCAATGAAAGAATAGAAAGACGCTATTTGTCAAGCAAATGTGACAGGATGTATGGAGATAATAGCGGGATGATGAGTCTACCAGTGGTAATACGACGAGGTGGCGACGCAGTCGGCGCCGTGTACAGCCACGAGAGGTAACTCGCGAGATTTGCCAGAGCGAAATGGTAACGCCAAGGGCCGTGCTGTAGGTTACTCGCCAATCCTTGTGTTGCGCCTTAGAACGAGTATAAGCGGAAATATGAGAGGATGGTACTGAGCGGTGGGGTGCAACGCCGAGGGACGGGTTGCGCAGGACAGATTTACGAGGCGCTTCGAAAGAGGTATGAAGGCAGAGCCGGCAGATGATTGGGCGGGCGGAAGCGAAGCCGATGGACGGGGCGCGCTGGAATAAAGAGGAAGCACACGCTGCTGCTGGTCCGGCCACCGTGGCAGTCTTATTAATTAGGTTCTTCTTGCTACGAACTCTCGTCTGCGACAAGCGAAAGATCGCTAGCGACAGGCCAAGATTCGGGGCGACAGTCCGACTGGGTTTTGCGACAGCGGGATGGGACGAATCGACGTGCGCGAAGGGAACGAGCCTTGTCATTACCCTAGTGCCTCATAGCTCTTCTGGTGTTCTTCTTCTGGTGAGCCTCAACGGATGGGCCTACGCTTCACGGTTCCCCTCAGGACGCCGGTGTGCTCTCTCCGTACTAGCGCGCGCGTCCGCTAATGCTGCGGCGGCATGGGGAAAACTCAAGAACTCGTCCAGCAAATCTAAGTGAACGAACATCGGGGGAGGCGCTGGAAAATATAAAGACGGGGGAGGCGCTGGAAAATATAAAGATCCAAGCTGCGTGCTGTCCGCTCACGGTCTTTTAAACGCTGGAGCTACAGTAGTAGGACGCGATTGGAGAGAAAGCGCGGGACTTCTGCAGACTAATGCAAGTGGCGTGGGTGGATGTGGATGTCTGTAGGGAAGTTGCGGGAATGAGGGGATGCGGGGGGATGCGGATTTTTTCTGCACGCACTAAGGACAGCAATTAAGACTGTCTGCAAGCGCAAGTGTTGAGTTGTCCATGGCCTCGCCCGCAAGGCCCCGCGTTTCTTTGCACACCCTAGCCCATCTCTGTTGGACTTTAGAATCTCATGTCGACTCTCCCCTGTGCGCAGCAGCAGCAGGTGAGGCATGCTCTCTCAGGAGAGGCTGTTGATGTTGAAAGCGCCTTTCCCGCTTGGGAGAGGGAGTCGGTGGATTGCTCATTGAGGCTTGAGCCTTGTGATCTGCTCGAATTTGGTGGGATGGCAAATTTTGCCGGATTTGGTGACGCGGCTCGACTATGCACACCTGTTTTTCACAGAGAGCGTGAAGACCGGGATCCACCCGAAACCGCGCCGCATGCGCTAAATATACACCTGAGATGCGCAACTGATGGCTTTGGCAAAACGAAGTAGCTTGCGACTAGTTCCCTTTTCGTCGAGCTCGTTGTTCGCCAGTCAAGTAATCGATTGGGTTTCGCAGAGGCTCCTCGAGTTCGGGGATTGTGTTTGTTCCACAGGCGCCGTGAGTCACGGGAGAGCAGGTTGAACTGGCGAATCGTTCGCGTAGCCTGAGCGTGGTTTGCGCTGGGGAAACGGAGTAATTTTCCGCCGTTCTTGCGTGTGGCGTTCACACGATCAGGTGCTTTTCCCAAAAAGAAAAAAATCACAATAAGGGCCTATTGAAACACTTCCTCAACGGAAAACTGACTTTGTATAGTGTTTCAAAGATAATTAAATCTTGGTCTATTGATTGGTTTTACACCCCGGTACGAGTAGAGCCAGCTGGATGTTCCCATATCTTCAGGGTCAGCGCATTTTGTGACGCTGGAGGGAACTCAAATTCTGGAAAGTGCTTTGAATTTTTTCAGGGGATATAGTCTTACAAAGGCACTATTGTTAAGAGTTACGGTAAAACCCCCTGAAAAAAAAAAAACACATTGTGCCAGCGCCAAGGGCACGTAACCTCGTATGGCCAGATGCGATACAGGTCCAGAGTCGTACATCCATGACTTCAAAAAGGTTTAGAACCTCTGGGTTGGGCTGAAAATTTTGTGCATGAATTCATTCCAACCATACGCAATCCAGCTGTCCATTTGCGGAAAGCCGCGACTTCTTAGCTGTGATTCCTCAAGTTTTAGATTCTAGAAAGTTAGCTACACAGCGTATAGCCTCAGCGCTCCTTGTCCGACTCTCGCGGCGAAGTAAGTTAACTTCGTGCGTATCTTTCTCGAAAGAGTGCGCCCGTTCGCCGCCACTGCGCTTCCGCCACCGCCCCTCCGCAGCGCTTTTTCGCCAACGCTCCTTCCCCAAACCCCCCGTTCCGGCTTTTCCAACCCTACCTGCCCATCCCGCCTTTTGCGCTTCTTGTTTCAGCGAATCGCGTTGGATCATCCCCTCGCGGCCGCCCTGCTCCTCCCTTGCCCCCCGCCTACCCTCCTCTCCGCCAGTCCGCCTCTCCCGCCCCTCTCGCGCCTCCGTTCCCTCCCGCGCGCCCCTCCCCCCCGCCTACCCTCTTCTCTCCTCCCACTCGTCCCGCCACCCGCCCTGCTCAATCCCTCCGTCCCTCCTTGCGCCCTTTCTCCCCATTCCTGCCCATTCCCGCCCATTCCCGCCCATTCCCGCCCATTCCCGCCCCTTCCCGTCCCTCCCTCCCGCCTTCCCTCCTCTCCGTGCGTATGCCAGCTTTGCTCCAACGATGAGGCAGCGATCACCCATGGACGGCAATTCGAGTGCGAAAGTGTTGCGAGGCAACTCTCGAACCACATTTCTTCTCTATCCATCCCTCCCTCTCTATCTATCCCTCCCTCCCTCCCCTCCGTGCGTGCGCCAGTTGTGTGGCCAATCACCCGCGCACAACCATGAGGCAGCGAGCAGCCACGGACTCGAGCGCCTCGCAGAAGGCCGAAGAGCAGCCAGAGTTCCTCGACACGCAAGGTCGTATGGTTGTGCTGTGAAGGGTCGTGCCGTTGTGCTGTGAAGGGTCGTGCCGTTGTGCTGTGAAGGGTCGTGCCGTTGTGCTGTGAAAGGTTGTGCGCCTGTGCACTTACGGGTGGGAAAGGCTGAAAGGTTGAAAGGGTGGGAAGGGCGAAGAGCCACCAGAGTTCCTCGACACACAAGGTTGGGCGGTTGTGCTGTGAAGGGCTGTGCTGGGAAGGGTCGTGTCGTGCTGTTGTGCTGGGAAGGGCTGTGCTGTTGTGCCTTCCCACTCTGGCTTTGATCTCCTTGGATGAAGGGTTGGGATGCATGGCAGTGGCAAGGGTGTGAAGGGCGAAGAGCAGCCCGAGTTCCTTGACACACAAGGTCGTGCCGTTGTGCTGTGAAAGGTTGTGCGGCTGCGCACTTTCGCCTGGATTCCCTTGGATGAAGGGTTGGGATGCATGGCAGTGGCAAGGGTGTGAAGGGCGAAGAGCAGCCCGAGTTCCTTGACACACAAGGTCGTGCCGTTGTGCTGTGAAAGGTTGTGCGGCTGCGCACTTTCGCCTGGATTCCCTTGGATGAAGGGTTGGGATGCATGGCAGTGGCAAGGGTGTGAAGGGCGAAGAGCAGCCCGAGTTCCTTGACACACAAGGTCGTGCCGTTGTGCTGTGAAAGGTTGTGCGGCTGCGCACTTTCGCCTGGATTCCCTTGGATGAAGGGTTGGGATGCATGGCAGTGGCAAGGGTGTGAAGGGCGAAGAGCAGCCCGAGTTCCTTGACACACAAGGTCGTGCCGTTGTGCTGTGAAAGGTTGTGCGGCTGCGCACTTTCGCCTGGATTCCCTTGGATGAAGGGTTGGGATGCATGGCAGTGGCAAGGGTGTGAAGGGCGAAGAGCAGCCCGAGTTCCTTGACACACAAGGTCGTGCCGTTGTGCTGTGAAAGGTTGTGCGGCTGCGCACTTTCGCCTGGATTCCCTTGGATGAAGGGTTGGGATGCATGGCAGTGGCAAGGGTGTGAAGGGCGAAGAGCAGCCCGAGTTCCTTGACACACAAGGTCGTGCCGTTGTGCTGTGAAAGGTTGTGCGGCTGCGCACTTTCGCCTGGATTCCCTTGGATGAAGGGTTGGGATGCATGGCAGTGGCAAGGGTGTGAAGGGCGAAGAGCAGCCCGAGTTCCTTGACACACAAGGTCGTGCCGTTGTGCTGTGAAAGGTTGTGCGGCTGCGCACTTTCGCCTGGATTCCCTTGGATGAAGGGTTGGGATGCATGGCAGTGGCAAGGGTGTGAAGGGCGAAGAGCAGCCCGAGTTCCTTGACACACAAGGTCGTGCCGTTGTGCTGTGAAAGGTTGTGCGGCTGCGCACTTTCGCCTGGATTCCCTTGGATGAAGGGTTGGGATGCATGGCAGTGGCAAGGGTGTGAAGGGCGAAGAGCAGCCCGAGTTCCTTGACACACAAGGTCGTGCCGTTGTGCTGTGAAAGGTTGTGCGGCTGCGCACTTTCGCCTGGATTCCCTTGGATGAAGGGTTGGGATGCATGGCAGTGGCAAGGGTGTGAAGGGCGAAGAGCAGCCCGAGTTCCTTGACACACAAGGTCGTGCCGTTGTGCTGTGAAAGGTTGTGCGGCTGCGCACTTTCGCCTGGATTCCCTTGGATGAAGGGTTGGGATGCATGGCAGTGGCAAGGGTGTGAAGGGCGAAGAGCAGCCCGAGTTCCTTGACACACAAGGTCGTGCCGTTGTGCTGTGAAAGGTTGTGCGGCTGCGCACTTTCGCCTGGATTCCCTTGGATGAAGGGTTGGGATGCATGGCAGTGGCAAGGGTGTGAAGGGCGAAGAGCAGCCCGAGTTCCTTGACACACAAGGTCGTGCCGTTGTGCTGTGAAAGGTTGTGCGGCTGCGCACTTTCGCCTGGATTCCCTTGGATGAAGGGTTGGGATGCATGGCAGTGGCAAGGGTGTGAAGGGCGAAGAGCAGCCCGAGTTCCTTGACACACAAGGTCGTGCCGTTGTGCTGTGAAAGGTTGTGCGGCTGCGCACTTTCGCCTGGATTCCCTTGGATGAAGGGTTGGGATGCATGGCAGTGGCAAGGGTGTGAAGGGCGAAGAGCAGCCCGAGTTCCTTGACACACAAGGTCGTGCCGTTGTGCTGTGAAAGGTTGTGCGGCTGCGCACTTTCGCCTGGATTCCCTTGGATGAAGGGTTGGGATGCATGGCAGTGGCAAGGGTGTGAAGGGCGAAGAGCAGCCCGAGGTCCTTGACACACAAGGTCGTGCCGTTGTGCTGTGAAAGGTTGTGCGGCTGCGCACTTTCGCCTGGATTCCCTTGGATGAAGGGTTGGGATGCATGGCAGTGGCAAGGGTGTGAAGGGCGAAGAGCAGCCCGAGTTCCTTGACACACAAGGTCGTGCCGTTGTGCTGTGAAAGGTTGTGCGGCTGCGCACTTTCGCCTGGATTCCCTTGGATGAAGGGTTGGGATGCATGGCAGTGGCAAGGGTGTGAAGGGCGAAGAGCAGCCCGAGTTCCTTGACACACAAGGTCGTGCCGTTGTGCTGTGAAAGGTTGTGCGGCTGCGCACTTTCGCCTGGATTCCCTTGGATGAAGGGTTGGGATGCATGGCAGTGGCAAGGGTGTGAAGGGCGAAGAGCAGCCCGAGTTCCTTGACACACAAGGTCGTGCCGTTGTGCTGTGAAAGGTTGTGCGGCTGCGCACTTTCGCCTGGATTCCCTTGGATGAAGGGTTGGGATGCATGGCAGTGGCAAGGGTGTGAAGGGCGAAGAGCAGCCCGAGTTCCTTGACACACAAGGTCGTGCCGTTGTGCTGTGAAAGGTTGTGCGGCTGCGCACTTTCGCCTGGATTCCCTTGGATGAAGGGTTGGGATGCATGGCAGTGGCAAGGGTGTGAAGGGCGAAGAGCAGCCCGAGTTCCTTGACACACAAGGCCGTGCCGTTGTGCTGTGAAAGGTTGTGCGGCTGCGCACTTTCGCCTGGATTCCCTTGGATGAAGGGTTGGGATGCATGGCAGTGGCAAGGGTGTGAAGGGCGAAGAGCAGCCCGAGTTCCTTGACACACAAGGTCGTGCCGTTGTGCTGTGAAAGGTTGTGCGGCTGCGCACTTTCGCCTGGATTCCCTTGGATGAAGGGTTGGGATGCATGGCAGTGGCAAGGGTGTGAAGGGCGAAGAGCAGCCCGAGTTCCTTGACACACAAGGTCGTGCCGTTGTGCTGTGAAAGGTTGTGCGGCTGCGCACTTTCGCCTGGATTCCCTTGGATGAAGGGTTGGGATGCATGGCAGTGGCAAGGGTGTGAAGGGCGAAGAGCAGCCCGAGTTCCTTGACACACAAGGTCGTGCCGTTGTGCTGTGAAAGGTTGTGCGGCTGCGCACTTTCGCCTGGATTCCCTTGGATGAAGGGTTGGGATGCATGGCAGTGGCAAGGGTGTGAAGGGCGAAGAGCAGCCCGAGTTCCTTGACACACAAGGTCGTGCCGTTGTGCTGTGAAAGGTTGTGCGGCTGCGCACTTTCGCCTGGATTCCCTTGGATGAAGGGTTGGGATGCATGGCAGTGGCAAGGGTGTGAAGGGCGAAGAGCAGCCCGAGTTCCTTGACACACAAGGTCGTGCCGTTGTGCTGTGAAAGGTTGTGCGGCTGCGCACTTTCGCCTGGATTCCCTTGGATGAAGGGTTGGGATGCATGGCAGTGGCAAGGGTGTGAAGGGCGAAGAGCAGCCCGAGTTCCTTGACACACAAGGTCGTGCCGTTGTGCTGGGAAAGGTTGTGCGGCTGCGCACTTTCGCCTGGATTCCCTTGGATGAAGGGTTGGGATGCATGGCAGTGGCAAGGGTGTGAAGGGCGAAGAGCAGCCCGAGTTCCTTGACACACAAGGTCGTGCCGTTGTGCTGTGAAAGGTTGTGCGGCTGCGCACTTTCGCCTGGATTCCCTTGGATGAAGGGTTGGGATGCATGGCAGTGGCAAGGGTGTGAAGGGCGAAGAGCAGCCCGAGTTCCTTGACACACAAGGTCGTGCCGTTGTGCTGTGAAAGGTTGTGCGGCTGCGCACTTTCGCCTGGATTCCCTTGGATGAAGGGTTGGGATGCATGGCAGTGGCAAGGGTGTGAAGGGCGAAGAGCAGCCCGAGTTCCTTGACACACAAGGTCGTGCCGTTGTGCTGTGAAAGGTTGTGCGGCTGCGCACTTTCGCCTGGATTCCCTTGGATGAAGGGTTGGGATGCATGGCAGTGGCAAGGGTGTGAAGGGCGAAGAGCAGCCCGAGTTCCTTGACACACAAGGTCGTGCCGTTGTGCTGTGAAAGGTTGTGCGGCTGCGCACTTTCGCCTGGATTCCCTTGGATGAAGGGTTGGGATGCATGGCAGTGGGGGTGGGTGTGGAGTATTAGAGTGCATGGCAGTCCATTTACATGACCTCACATTTGTTGGTGTGAGAAAGTGGGTTGAGGAGGGGAAGGAGAGGAGGGATGGACAGGGATTAAACACCTTGTGATGCATTGTGTAGCATGGCATGGCACGGCACGGCATGGCACGGCACGGCATGGCATGGCATGGGATGGCATGGCGGGGCATGGCGTGGTGTGGCATGGCATGAGATTTTTGACATCACGGCATGGCATGCAGAGCAGGAGGCCATGATAGCAGCTTTTGAGAAGCAACACCGCGAGTCACATCGCTTCTGGAAGGTATGCTGTGACTCGCTCCCGCCCCTTCCAGACCTTAGAAAGTTTTTCCTCTTGCAAGGATATGTAAAATCTCCCCTTAATACACGTCACAAATCGCTTTGCCTGTCCTGCAGATCTGCATATCGCTGATACTGCTCGCATATGCATCCTTCATGGTGCATGGAGTCATCAGCCTCGTTGCCTCTCCCTGGGGACAGGTGTGTGGCGGAGGGGGGGGAAGTGCCGTGCCATGTGCCTTTTATAAAGTGCCATGTGCCATATGCACCATTCACGGTGCATGGGGTCATCAGCCTCGACGTCTCTCCCTGGGGTCAGGTGTGTGCTGGGGGTGGGGGGGTTGAAGGAGTGTTGGAAACACCTCGTGGCATTTCTGACACACCACCTTATGCATCAAACGATGTCATTTTCTGGGAATTCCTGTCTCAATGCTCACTTCAGCCTTGTCAAGCAGGGCGATGTTCGGCAGCCAGGGGAGGGGGTTTAGGGGAGGATCAAAATGCTGGGCCTCCAGGTTCGACCTGTACGAACCAGGCAAAACACTTCAGTCAGACTAGAAAAAACTGAAAAAAATGTCGAACGAGAGCCTAAAACGCAACGCGAACACCATGCTAGATGGTAGCCCGCGCCGCAGCCTCCCCCAAATTCTCCCCCATGGCGGAAGAACTCCGCCCTAGTGCCCACGGAATCCAAATTGCAATCCCGTGAGTGGCCTCACCAACGGGGGATGTAAATTGGATTCCCTCATCCACGTATTTTGTTTATGATTGTTACCCCACACTCTAAAATAACGAGTAAATCCGACATCGGAAATGTTTCGGAAAAACGCATATTTAAAATGATCTCAATAAGATCACCCAGGTGAGTACGAAATTAAGTACCTTCAATTTGATTAATGGTGTTAAATGTTTTCGGGTAGTGATATACCCAAACATGTCGCAACAGTAAAATGAGGCAGGGAGAAGAAAAACTGTTCAGCACGAGAAGTTTCGTTTCGTGCGGCTGCAGTTTCGTGAGCCCCCAATTCCCGAATCGCTCGTCCGCGCCCCCCCCCCAACCTTTCCGCTTGCGCCTGGACCTTGGACTTGGCTTGAAGTCAACGTTGGTTGACTCGAAGTTGACCAGCCCAAACTAGAAACCCTAGGTTTGAGTTTGGATTCCGCCCCCTCCCCCTCTCTGTATCCCGTGTGCTGCCGAACATCGCCCATATGTCGTTCTTCTTTCCTCCCTTCTTGCCTCTCAACATTCCCCCCTGCAATCCCGTTGGCACCGTGTCTCCTCCATGTGCTTTCTCATTCAGAGGAGGCATGCTGAGCTGCGCCAACTCCTCGACCTCACAACCCTTGCTGCTGCCGGTATGCTGCTTCTATCACCTCCTCCTTCTCTTACCAGGCTCGCCGTCCTCACATCCACATATCCCCCTCTCCTGCACTCCTGCCTCATCTCTGTGATTTTCCCAAAACTTCTCCCACCCGTTCCTGCTGCCGCCTGGCGTGCACTGTCCCCCTTCCCACCCTCCCCCCGTTCTCCCTCCCTACATCTCGCCCTCCGTTTCCGCCTTTTCTTCCTTTTCGCTCTCCCTCTCACTGTCGGTCCTTCCTCGCTTCCAGACGTCGCATCAGTAGCAGCCTCCTCCTTTTTCCTTCTCTCTCTCTCCCTGCGCGGCTCCACAACTCACCTTCTCTTCACTCTTCTTCTCACCCCCCTCCATCCCTCCCCGTCCTTCCTCTCCCTCAGATGTGGCATCAGTGGCAGCCTCTGCCCTTCTCCTTCTCTCTCTTTGGATGCACGGATCAAAACGTTACCTTCTCTTCACGTCCTCTGCTGCTCTATCCACTGTGCTTGCACTCTTCTGGAGCTACACCCTGCTACAGTACGTATTGCTGAATACCTACCCGGCTACAGTACCAATCTACTTTTGAGGTAACTCAGAAGGCAATTTTCTAAACAAAAACCGAATTCTTCCCTGCTACAGTACGTCTTGTCACCTAGCATCTGCCTCCTGGAACGCACAAATGTGTTGCAACTCGTGGAGACAGATTTATGGGCAATCTTACCGTATGTCACGACTTTCAAAATAATATTTCTTTGTTTCTACTCCCTTCTCTCTTCGCTCTATTCATTCCCATGTGCCGCGACCAAACTGCCAGGCTGGCAACACCATTCCGATGGCGCCTCTTCTGGTTACCCCTCGCAAATCCAGCGTAAGAGTGCTTGTCACCCGAGTTCCTCTCATGCCTACTCAACCCTACTGCACCTCCAGTTGTTTGTTGGCCCATAGCCATTCCCCCAATGCAAGTTGCTCACCTTCTTCTCCAATTTTGTGTTACAAATTTGTTGTTGCTGAGCTACCGTATTGATTAGCATTATAATGCTCTATTGATACTTGACAGAATCTGCTTATATTTACTCCATGCGCAGGTTTGTACAGCTCGCAGTGTACATCCACCACTCATTCAGCAGCGTGGAAAGAGAGATTGCAAAGCTTCGCGGTCTCAAGTACGAGCACAAAAGGGTTTAAAGGTTTCAGATGGCAGAGCCTTGCTATGCCGCGAACACGTCACTAGGCAGTGAATGGTGGTATATCCAAGAGAATAGGTAGTGAATGGTGGTATATCCAAGAGAATAGGTAGTGAATGGTGGTATATCCAAGAGAATAGGTAGTGAATGGTGGTATATCCAAGAGAATAGGTAGTGAATGGTGGTATATCCAAGAGAATAGGTAGTGAATGGTGGTATATCCAAGAGAATAGGTAGTGAATGGTGGTATATCCAAGAGAATAGGTAGTGAATGGTGGTATATTCAAGAGAATAGGTAGTGAATGGTGGTATATTCAAGAGAACTTCTATCCAGTTCTTAATGGGAAAGAAGAGGGCTATCAAGGAAAGAAGAATTGGTTATGGAATCAGCCAGACAGAAGGTGAACAGCACGTCTGGTGTAAAAAGTATGCACCACAACTGGCCCATACAGGTTTCGAACCTGTGACCTTCGCGTTATTAGCACGACGCTCTAACCAACTGAGCTAATGGGCCGATATCACTCGAGCAGATTCTCGTTAACTCTTTCCTGCACTCCCCTCAACCCTTCGCTTCCTACTGCTCTTCATTGTCGCTTCTTTCGCGGCTTGCTTTGCACCTCAGCAGCAGCAGCAGCAGAGCATTCGGTCTCGCAGCGTCGCGCCATGGCCACACCGTCTCCTCCCGCGCAGCGCCAGGCAAAGCAGCCGGGCGTGCAACACGAGATGGAGCCGCAGCCGTCCGTCACTCGCCAGGCGTACAAGCCGGCCGACAAGCTCAAGGTGCGTCCCTGGGTGCATGAATTGAAGTAACTTTGATATCAAGAGGCAGCCTGGAAAACTTCAAGCTATGAAAGCCTTGGAAGCCTAGAGGCTTGTCAAGCTTCGTAACAGGGCTAGGATCAGATGCCTAAACCTTCTTCTTGCTGTCGCCCCTTTTGCAGGCTAATGATACACATCTCTCTGTTTGGTTCATTTTCTCCGTGCAGGGTAAGATCGCGCTGATCACGGGAGGCGATTCCGGAATTGGGCGGAGCGTGGCGCACCATTTCGCGTTGGAGGGAGCGGCGGTGGCATTCACGTACGTGTCGCCGCGGGAGGACAAGGACGCCCAAGAGACCCTCCGCTTGCTGCGGGACGCCCAGCGCCCCGAGCACAAGCAGCCGCTCGCCATCCCCGTGGACCTCGGGCACCACGACAACTGCAAGGAGGTGAGACCTCGGGCACCACGACTCCTGCAAGGAGTCCTCGGGCACCACGACAACTGCGGTGAGACCTCGGATACCACGACAACTGCAAGGAGGTGAGGATGGCGTGTGGTTCTGTTGCTTCATGGAATTCTTTTCATGTTGGGATGGGATCACGTTTCATTTTCTGTCGATGAAGTACAACGATGCTTTGGTGTTTTGGAATGGTACTAAATTTGTGTTCATGTCATTGTTGTGAATTCCCTCCATGGGTGCAGGTGGTGCGGAAGGTGGCGGAGCATTTTGGGGGGAACATAGACGTGCTGGTGAACAACGCAGCGGAGCAGCACACCCACAAGACCCTCGAGGAGATCTCCCCTGAGGAGTGGGACCGCACCTTCAAGACCAACATCCACGCCTATTTTCTACATGGCAAAGTAGGCACATGCATCACTTGCATTTCACCAACATCCACGCCTACTTCTACATGACAAAGTAATTTTGTGCACTACTTTCATTTTGCTGGCATATTGTGGAATGCATATCTGTTTTTTTTTTGGCTTGGCGTTGTATCTGCAGCATGTGATGCAATCTCGTCAAGCTTAGTTTGCCTTTTTCTGATCCCCCTACTCTTGCATCTGCAGGTATACATTGCCTCACATGAAGGAAGGCAGCTGCATCATCAACACCACCTCTGTTACTGCATACAAGGGCAATCCTTCTCTGCTGCCGTATTCCACCACCAAGGCTGCCATTGTTGGTCTCACTCGCTCGCTCGCGCTCATGGTCGTTGACAAGGGAATCCGCGTGAATGGTGAGTCTGACGTTCCGATGATGTGTCACCATGTTTAGTTCCTAGTATACCTCGTTCCCTTTTTGCGAATATGACGCTTCTTGCTGTTTCGCAGGTGTGGCGCCTGGGCCTGTGTGGACGCCGCTCATCCCGGCCTCGTTTGAGGAGGAGAAGGTGGAAGGGTTTGGCAAGCAGGTGCCCATGAAGAGGGTGGCTCAGCCGGATAAGATTGCCCCATCCTATGTGTTCCTGGCATGTGATGATTCCTCGTACTTCACAGGCCAAGTGCTCCACCCCAATGGTAAGAAATTCATTAATACTGAAGGAAGTGTCTTGCTTGTTAATTATTGTACTGACAAAGCATGCTCTGCTTTGTCATGCTGTGCAGGAGGGGTGGTTGTGAATGCTTAGGCATTTTCTTGTACATTGGCTATGGATGGCTTGTAGAAAGGTTGAAGTTTAGCATTGTTCTTCAGATGGTGCACGTGTTTGAATTTTACAGATGTATCAATTGTACAGGTTTTCTGTCTGTGCGCAAGAAATTTGTTACCACCAGTAGTTCAGATAAGAAATTTGGCTTACTAGTATGGGCGCAATTCATATAGAAAGCTAGCGTCACCCTGAGGATGAATTTATTTTGCTTCTTCGGAATACAGCTCAGAACAGTGTCGACACAACTTATATCGAATGTTGGCGTCACCCTGACGACGGAATGATAATCTCAAGGTATCAATTCCCAATTTCTCATCTGTCCTGCTGTGAGATTGTTGGTAGGAGAGGAGGTACCTCGCTGAATAGAAACGCTGATAAACATCGAGCACCGTTACTCCTCTTTTTCCCAACCGTTGTGACAGCTGAAGGGCGGAGCTCGATTTTCGTTTCACGTTGACTAGTGTCAATTGTTCGAGATAAGGATATGGCTATGGAGGATGTTCAGATGGCCGATATCGCTCCTCCTGAGGAGGTGGGTGAAAGGCCTTGCGATGTACCGTTTGAACTGGAACTTGTAGTGATAATATCGTACGCAGGTCCGGAGGAGAATCGAAGCGTTAGTCCTGGAATTTCTGCGTGGTCTCGTCAGCCATGAACGCCCGGGCATCAAGAGCTTGTCCCTGGTAAGTACGCCACTGTTTTCTTCGTCCTTGGGGACATTGCCACTCTTACAATCTCGTACACCAACAGATTCGACGTGACGCGTCAAACATTAGGGCGTATGGTGGCGACGAAGAAATTGTCAAAGTGGGCCTCGCACATACGTTGCAAGAGCGCACATTGACTGGCCTGAACGGAAAAAGAGTTCTCCCTTATGTTCGTGGTGTGTGTCCGCCAAGCTAAGGCGTTTTCATGTTTCCTGCAACATGTGAAGAAAAAGAACCTGAATATCGTTCCCCATTGCAGTTTGGAAAGTTCTCGCTGTAGTTTACAAGCTTCTCGAAGATGGTAGAATGTCGACTCAAAGGGAGATTTACTATCGCTTGCTAGGCGAAAACCAGGAGTATTTCAAGAAACAGCGTGACTGTAATGCGGCAATTCAAGGTACGTTACCATTCGCACTCGTTCAACTTTCATCTGAGGCACTATTCTGACATCTTATGCACAGAGACCGTGTCCCTCCTCCACTGCAGCAGATGTAGCCTGGGTATTTATGCATCAAGCAAGGGGACAGTTGCTGGTCGCTTATCTATCAGGGTACGTTGTGCACTGTTGAGGACAGTTCAGGCCAACGTGGATAAATTAGGTCTTGACAGATTGATGTAGTCGCATGGGGCGTTGAGGATTGTCACTAATTGCCGTTCGGTTCAGGAAGGAGAGACAGGACAGTGGATCGACTGCACCAGTCGGGGAAGTGCTGGTGTTTCAATCACTGGGAACTTATGGAACATTGAGAAGCTGACATTCAAGACAGATGCGAGATACATTATTGTAGTTGAGAAGGTGTGCGTTTTGCTGAACCTTCATTCATGTTTTGACTTCCCTTCTCGCGGTCTGACAGTCTTCCAGATTGGCATGGTGCAGGACACTGTCTTCCAACGGCTTGTTCAGGATCGTTTGTTTCAGGAGATTCCTTGTATCTTGATTACTGCCAAGGGCTTTCCTGACCTGGCCACGAGGTAGGATGTGATAGCTGTCGGAATCTGGCAACAAGGTTGAGTTTGTTTCCTCTTCTAACATGTGCGGCTTGATCCAGAGCCTTTCTACGAAGCTTGCATCTGCACTACCCAAAGATTCCAATTCTTGGGCTGGTGGACATGTGAGAATACCACCTGGTTATCAATATATATATATATATATATTTTTTTTTTTTGAAGTTAGTGCGTGATGCTCAGTATACCTACTGGTTTGCAGGAATCCAGCAGGGCTGTCAATTATATGCACATACAAGTTTGGATCAGGCCAAATGGGGCTTGAGGGTCCACGATACGGTACTGTCAACTGCTATTGAGAACTATGGTACCAGTTTGAATTCTTTCAATGTGCTAACTGGCCTCCTTGAATCCGCAGCATGTGATGTGAAGTGGCTTGGCCTGAGATATGGCGATGTCAAGTATGTCCCTGACGATGGACTGCAACCACTGTCAAATAGAGACAGAGTTCTGGCACAGAGTCTCATGCAAAGTGCAGCTCTTCAGGTGATAACATAAAGAGTTATTTCCCAGCAGACTTGTGTGCTTTCACTCTCTTACCCACCACACCATTTCAACAGATGTCCAGCTCGTACACTGATGAGCTTGAAGCAATGGTGGACTTCGGAAAAAAAACAGACATTGAGGCACTCCACTCCAACGGACCTGATTTCCTGGTGAAGTTCATTATCCAGAAGATTGTGCATCAAGACTACATCTGAAGTTCAACTAACAAATGTTGGCATAAGTGAAGCTGGTGTTGCGAGATGATTGGTTAGTGACATTTTGTAAGGTCATGCTACAAGGCAAAGTTGTAGAGCAGTTGTCAACCACTATTTCAAATCTATGAGGGCAATGTCATCTACCTCCTACTCCATGACCCAGGCCTTCTTTGGGCATTGATGCTCATTGCATGACTCGCGATGATGTTAGCCGCATCAGCGTTGGGAGAGGCAGACCTGGGGCTGGCTGCTCGGGGACTCATAAACCTCGGGGAAGCTCCCTTGGGAGCTCCAGGGCTTGGCCGTAGTGGTGGCGGGCTCAATGCTCTCGGGCTGGATCGCATGGCAGCATTGGCAATGAGAGCGCCCACATCAGGAGCACCTGGGCTGGATGCAGCAAGCGAGCAACGTGGGCTGAGTGAACAGAGGGAGTCTGTCCTTCCGTTGGAGTAAAGTGGCCGTGGGCTTGCCCTGCTGGATTCAGATCGGCCCGGAGCTGTCATGTTGCCATTGGCGTAGCTGGGGCTTGGGTCTCGGATTGTCAGTGACCTGGCACTCACGGGACTGGGCCTTCGAGCCACCCAATCATCCCTCTGCGCAGAAATGACCACACATAGCACGAAGGGCAGATTGGGATGAGTTGAGGATTACAGGTCTCATAGATGCTGTTTGAAACTTGGGGTCATAATCGGCTATATGGCCATCAGCTGAACCGGTTGTGGTCGGAATGGTCGTCTGCTTACCTGTTTTGGGTCTTCACTTTCTAGCATGTGGACGATCTGGGTCATGCGCGGCCGCTTGAGTGCGTTGGTCTCCACGCAGCGCATGGCAATCCCGAGGACGTACTCTGCATCGTCAGGAGAGATCATGCCTTGCAGACGCGGGTCCACAATCTCGACCAGCCGCTCCTGCGAGCTCAGCTTCTTGGCCCATGTCACCAGATCCATCTGCAACAGCATCACAGCAATCAGAATCAGCACACATGGTAATTGGAAGCGTTACAATTTAACTACAACGTTGATGAAAAACGGAATTTCTTAGCATCACAAAAACACTTGGCAGGACTGGAAGTCACAGACACATGGGTGGTGGGATGTGTTACCTCGTCAGGAGGAGCTCCATTGTCAATCGGCTTTCTTCCAGAGATGATCTCAAGGAGCAGCACGCCGAAGCTGTACACGTCGCTTCGTTCCGTCAGCAGACCCGTGTTCATGTACTCTGGGGCCACGTATCTGAGCACAGACGGGAACACAAGACAGGACAAATGATGAAACTCTGTTTGAAATGTCCCACAACAGCAGACTCGGGGCCACATATTCCTATACCGCTCAAAAGCATGCGACACAGCGGGCCTGGAAAATTAGTCAACAATGGAGGGGAGAACATACCCAAATGGCCCGACAACGCGGGTGGCAGTGTGGCTCTGGTCGCGGCCCATGACCTTGGCGATGGCGAAGTCGCCAAGCTTGGGGTTCCACTGGGCGTCCAGCAGCACGTTGCTGGCCTTCACGTCCCTGTGCACCACCTTCATGTCCAACCCCTCGTGCAGGTGGGAGAGACTGCAGAAAGGGTAGGTAGAATGAGGGGGACGAGAAAGAGAAGGGATAGAGGCATGAGAGAATTGTTAGCGAAACTGACTCAAGCCCAGCCGATGGCGATGTTTGAGCGGACTCATAGGAATGGAGAAAAATGCAGGAATGTGAGGAAGAAGGAAGCGAGGGAGAAAGAGAAGGACTAGGAGAGGGAGGAGGAGGAAGACGAGAGGAATAATTCTCTCACCCTCGCGCGCAGCCGATGGCGATGTGCATGCGCATGGGCCAATCAATGGGCTCCATGTTGCTGTTCTGGTGCAGCCACGCGTCCAGAGAGCCGTTGGGCACAAACTCGTACACCAGCATTCGCTCGTCCTCCTCCGCGCAGCACCCCAGCAGCGCCACCAGGTTCGGGTGCCGTGCGTGGGCGAGAGATTCGACTTCGAATCTGAACTCGCGTGCTGATTGGTCCAGGCTGGTGTTACACGGAGTGGGAATGTGGCGGGTGGGGGGGACGCAGGGAGGGTGGAACAAGAGGGGGAATGGCGACGGTTAGGCACTAGCTGTAAAGAAACTGCCGTTAGGCACAAACTGAAGCGGAGCATGCACAGGGGTATTTCCTCCAATACACTCACTTTCTTTGGGTAAGTCTCTTCACCGCCACGGTCGTCCCGTCGGGCAGCCGAGCCTTGTACACCGAGCCGTCTCTGCCCGTACCCAAAACATTTCTCTGGGACTGCCTGCCGAAGTCATTGGTGGCCAATGACAGCTCAGCAACCGTGAAGAACCGCTCCAGGCTGGCACCCTCCCCTGCCACGTCATCTGACGCCTCAGGTGCCCCGTCAGCACCCCCTCCAGATCCTCCTGAAGGGGGGGTCCAAACTCCGCCTCTTCCCCCCATCCCGCCCCCCCCTCCGCCCATTCCCCTCCCGCCCCCGTACCCGCCCTTCCGACTGCTGCTCCGCAGCTCCCCCACCACGTCATCCTCCCCCTCCCCCTCCGCCTCTCCCCCCGCCTCCTCCAAATCCGCCACCCTTAGCGCCCGCCCCGCGGCCCCGTACTTGGGAGTCACAGCAGTTGCGCCGACCGCCATCCCCGCGCCAGAACCCTCCGCCCGCCCTTCCCCGCGCCCCTCCCCTCTCTCGTCCCCGGACCCACTCCGCCGCATGTTGTTCGGCTGCGGAGCGGGTGACACGTCATCCTCCCCCGCTCCGCCCCCATTCCTCCCCCCCTTCTTCCGCGACGCGGCTCCCGCCGGCATGGATTTCAGCTGAGGGATGGGAACCGCAGGAGGGATGAGCACCGGGCGGTTGGATCCGCCAGATTTGATTTGATTCTCGTCAGAATCCACCGGGATTTCCACCACTGTAGGGATCCCCTCCTCCCGGAGGATCGGCACAGGCTCGGCAGGTTTGGGCGGCGTGCCGTGGTAGCTTCGGTTCGGGGAGGAGGACCGATGGTTACTTCCGCCGGGGGAGGGGGAGTTGCGGTTCCCCGTGCGCGACCACGAGGGCATGCGCGGGGGGGTGCTGTCGCGGTTGCGCGGAACGGACGGGGGGATGGCGGGCGGAGAAGCTTCAAACACCGGCGCACCAGAACCAGCAGCAGCAGCATTGCCACTGTCGTTGCTCAGTCTCCTGCTGGACCCGTCCTTATGTCCCTTAGGTGACGGGCTGGTCTCAGGGCTCCTACCCGACTGGTTACCACTCCCTCTCTCCGTCTTCGGCGGGGTATGCTCCTTGCGCTCCTTCCTCCCTCCGTCCCGAGCCGCTGGCTCGGCGGATCCCGAGCCTGACTTCCTGGTTCGGGGACTCTCCGGCCGAGTCTTGTGTGGAGAGGTCTGGGGGCTCCTTCCCGAGCCAGAAGCAGCAACGGCAGCAGCTCCTGTGGAAACAGCAGCAGCGGCAGCGGCAGCGCCTGTCTTGCGGTCGCTGCCGCTTCTGCCGCTGCCTCCAATTGAGCGGGGGCCTAGCGCGCCCCCAAGAGCCGCTGGATCGTGCTGGTCGCCACGTGGCGACGATCCGACGCTCTCCTTATCCGCATTCGGATTGCTCCGGGAGCTGTCCTTCTTGGGAGAGGGGGAATGTGATTTGCCGGACCTGCCTTTGCTCTTGCTTCCCGCGCCTGCGATCGCAGCTCCGGCTGCCGCACCTGTGGCGCTCACTGCCGAGACTGCAGCCTCGGGTTCCCGAACCGAGCGAACGGCAGGCTCGGGAGGGAGCTCCACGACAGTTACAGGTGGCACGTCGACCGTGTGGTAACCCGAGTGGTAACCACTAGCTCCGTTATTACCAGACTCGATGTCGATGCGGTGGTGCTTTGACGGAGAGTGACGCTTAGAAGGCGACTTCTTTTTAGATGAACTGCGACCAGAACCCGCGATTGCCGCTCCCGTCGCCGCTCCTGCCGCCGCACCTGCCGCGGCCGCCGCCCCGCTTCCTCCGCCTGCGTCTCCGCCCGCTGCTTCCGCGCCCGTGGGGCTGCGCGCCTTGCCCTTGGACTTGCTGCTGCCGTATCCGCGCTTGGAGGCGGAGGGGGGGTTGAGATCCTTGTCGCTGCGAATCGCCCTAAATGCCGCCGCGCGCTGCACAGGGGGAGCGGGGGGAACGGGAAACGGGGGAACGGAACATGCGAGAGGGGAAAATTGAGAGTGAGGGAAGGGAAGAAAGGTAAGGGATGGGAGGGGAGGGAAGGAAAGGAGGAGAGTTGAAATAAGGGAATACGACTTGGTTCCTCTACTTACCGCGCGCGACTGCTTCGGCTTCCACCAGCAGCAGTAGCCAATCAAAATCGTCGCGACAATCACCAACAACGCGCCTCCAGCCGCAATGCCGATATATACGCCCATGCTCATTCCCCCACTGCTCTCGCCGCTGCTGCTGCTGCTGCTGCTCGCGCTTGCGCTGCTGTTTCCGCCGCTGCTTCCGCTGTCCGCCGCCGCCGCGGTACCGCTGGAGAGCGTGTCTGCTGGCGCGGAGGCGGAGGGGGTGGCGGAACCGGGGGGCGGGGAGAGCGGAACGAGTGGCTGCACGGGCTGGGGATCGTCCGCGGGCGGCGGAGAGGACGGCTGGGCGTTGGCGGAAGGCGGGGGGGAGGACGGCGGGGAAGACGGCTTGGCGGGGGAAGGGGAAGGGGAGGTAGTTGGCGGGGGTTTGCTCGGGGAGGCGGAAGGCGCGGAAGGGGAAGGTTTGGGGCTTTTGGAAGGCGATGGGAGAGGCTTTTCCGGTGAGGGTTTCGGTGATTTTGGCGGAGGCTTGACGACTGGTGGGGTAACCTTAGGAGGCGATTCAACGACGGGTGGTTTAACGACTGGCGGTTTAACGACAGGAGGCTTGACGACCGGCGGTTTGACGACGGGCGGCTTGACTGGCGGTTTCACCTTAGGCGGGGACTTCTTAGAGACATATGGAGGGTCGCCAGGACAGGTGTCGAGCCCCTTAAAGCCCGTGCCGCAGAACCCATAACCGTTCTCGGAGAAATTATACTTGGCGGGGCTATCGCGGAGGTAATTAAGTCCCTTCGGGACGCGCCCTTGGAGCTGATTATGCGCGAGCGAGATGGACTTGAGACGCTTTAAGTTGCCGATCGACGCGGGAATCTCGCCCGAGAGCTGGTTATTATTCAGCTCGAGGAACTTAAGTTGCGGTAAGTCGCCGAGCGACGCGGGAATCGTGTCGGAGAGGATATTGTTGCTTAGGTCGATGGCGAGGAGATTCGACATTCGGCCGAGGTCCGGAATTACGCCCCCGATGTTGTTGCAGCAGAGGTTCAGAACCTGCCGTTTGGTATAGGCACATTCGGTGAGGAAGGGCCGATTAGCACTCAAACTGCCGATGAGTGAAAATGGTGAAAATTCTCCATGAAAGTAATCGATGAGAACGAATAAAGAACAGAGGAAGCTAATGGTCAGTCATGGCATAGCTGTCAGGCCGAGCTGTGTCAGTTGTCTGGAGAGATCGGGTCTCGTCACGAATACCACTTGTGGGAAATACTCACCATCAGCGAAGGAAGGTTGGCGATGTCGACAGGAATGTTTCCATGCAGTGAATTTTCGCCGAGGTCCAGCCACGTGAGCTTGTTGAGTTGAACGATTTCGGGCGGCACTTCGCCGGACAACCCGAGACTGCGTAGCGAAATTTCGATCACCTCTTTGTTCGCATTACATTTCACTCCCTGCAAAAGTAGGAAAAAAAAACCGGAGATAAAAACGAGAAAGAGACAGAAAACAGGCAAGATGAGGGGAGGGAGGTCTGAAGGCGACTTCCCTGACGATGAAACACGGGAAGGCGGTCACAGGTTTCTCGGTCATTGAATGAGAACAGGAGAATTCAACTAGTTCTGTGATTGAAACGCGGTAATGGAGTGAGCAGATGTGCTGCGGAATTGTGGCATATACGGAAGAAAAACCTTTGAGACGCGTACTTTGAATGGCGGATTGGCACAGGCGTCGGAGTTGCTATCCCACGTGGATAGGATCTGATTGCTCGGATCCAGCTTCATCGCGATGCCCGTCCAATCCGTCGCTGCTACTAGCGAACCGGCGCTCATGACAATAACAAGGACTGCGGCTGCCCTCATGACTGGATGAAGGTCCCGCTCCATTGATTTTGCTTTCCTACGCATTTTTTATATTCTGTGTTTGGAAGCTAGGCTCTAGGTGCTTGAAATCTGCTCGCGTTAGGAGGTAATTTAACGGGATCAGCGGTGACTATTCTTGAGTCGCAGTTCGCATTTCCAAGGTCTGTCGATACAGTTTCAGCCGCAACGCTTGGTTACTGATGCTACAGCTCGATTTTAGTTTCTACGACGAAAGGAGTCCGCCGAGCGGAGCACACTAAGCACTATCGAGCATGGTATTGAACCGCTTTGTGGGTCAGGCGAACTAGGTTGACGCAACAATAGCAGATGCTCGTCTCTCTCTCACACGCTTGGGGCAAATCTAGCAGCACCCTACACTGACTTGAGTAATGGCAACAGGTTACAGGACCGTCATCAGCACACCCTTTTCGTGAAGAGTATCTCGATTGAAAGCAAGGGCAAGCAACAGCAGCAGATAGGACCGAGACTGTTGCTGAATGACGACGTTCTAGCCTGAATCCTCGGCGCCTGGTGCTTGCGGTGATGGTGGTGGCCGTCCCAACATGGGTGAGTGGACGAAGCTAACAGTGATTAACAGCACCAAAGGATGGGTTGGGATGGGAAGTTGAGAACTTAGAATGGACATTTCTCCCTCCCTGCAAACTCGCGAGACTGCCGTTGTCCTAGAAATGTCAACTTTGGCAAAATGTCACTCCAACATCCCATCTCAAACCGAGGCGCGTGTTAATTTTTCGAGGCGCATTTGGAGCGATTCGCCATCTTGTCGTGGGTCTGGGTCCTTGACTTGGTTAGATGTCGTCCAAGCTTGGTGGCTCGGTTCGGTTCTGCACTCATGAGACCTTGTGGTCCGGTTTTGGCGCGAGACGAAATGCAAGCTCCGTGAAGCTTGATGCGCGCTCGGTCTGGGTTGCGTGGGCTGTCTGTGGGGCACCCGTTGAGAAGGGGGAGGAAAGCAAAAGCTGGCGTTGAAATATGAAACTGATTGGCCAGCTGTACTTGCTGGCTCGGCCAAACCTAGAACATAGAAGTCGCACAAAACACAACGAGCTGGCCCAGCGATTCGTCAGGTGACCTGAGCGTTTTCGCCTGAAATGTGCTGACGAATGTTACAAGTTTGCTATATACATTGAGTCGTTATTAGATAGAAGGTCTTGTAAATAGAGAGGAGCTTACATAATTCTCGTTATCCTAGCACCAAAAGAGGCTTGCGGATATCTAGCGGAGCCTTCCATGTCGCATCCGTAGAAACACCAGCAAACCATATCCCCAAATTTGCTGTTAGACAATTTGCCCCACCCCCAAGAGACTTGCTTGCAGTACAACACTGTGCATGCGACCACACCACACCCTAACGTCCTGCATGATTAGTAAGCGAATTCGCCCATCCAGTCAAATTCGGCGACTATCACGGCGTGCTGCTGACATGGCTGGAGTTTATACACCCTCCACGTGGACCAAAGTTGCCGCAGTTTCAGGTGAAGTTATTTTACCGGAAGACCCTCGTTGCTCAAATTCGCCGCCGCATCGATTTCCGTGCACTTTTTTAGGTGCCTTCAATACTTGCTAAGAGGCAGCAGATCGTCCTCCGTCCGCGTTTTAAGCGCGCCTCTGGTTAGATTCGTTTGCGTAAAGAATCACCTCGTTGTTTGTCCTAATGCTTGACGCTCTCTTCGAACTTTCCTCACCTCCCCTCGTTTTCCCCCACCCTCTCCGCTTTCCCACCTTCCCCCATCTTCCCTTCCCGATCTCCCCGCAATATCCAGGCGCTGCGGCGGTGGGGCTGGGCGCGTACGGAGCGCACGCGTTCAAGCCGGAGAACCCCGTGTATAAAGAGGTGAGAGGTGACTTTTGAGACGCCTCATAACCATGGAGGCGCCTCCTAATCATGGAGGCGCCTCACAAGTCGGAGAACCCCGTGTATAAAGAGGTGAGGAGGTGAATGCGGCCGGAGTATTGGATACATGCTTATCCATTTCAGGAGACGTGAATACGTATTTAAGGAGGTAAGATGTGAATACCAGAGTGTTTTCCTTTTTTGTGCTGTCTCTCTCTGCTCCTTGTTCCTCGGCCTTTGATCATGCATTATAACGCGTTTTACTGTAACGCTTATGGGGTGTGGCGAATGAGCATTCTCTACCACCTGCTGCTCGCATGTGGGCTTCCCGTCCCCATCATATAGGATTCATGCTTATATGACTGACTGCTACGTATACGATTCATGCTTCAAATTGCGTTGTACATGCCTTTATCAGGTGTAGCGTACGGGTGATCTCTACCATCTCGTGCACTCTGCTGCTCACATGTGTGCTTCCTGTCCGCGTCATAATGCTTCACTAAACTTCCTTACAACAATGCATGCTTCAAACTGCGTTGTATTGCTTTTATCAGGTGTGGCGAACAGGCAACCTCTACCATCTCGTGCACTCTGCTGCTCTCCTAGCCTCGCCCTTAGTCAAGCGACCTGACGTTGTAAGTTCACAAACTCTTCAATTCAAAATAGTCGCTTTGTGGCGGCTTTTTGTCAAACTACCCATCCCCGTAAGCTCAGTGTCTCTTAAGTTTTCCTCCATATCCTCACTCCCCTCCTCTCTCCTGACCCCCTTTCCACTCCCCTTCTCCTTTCCCCTGTCCCCCCCACGCTCCTCACCTCCCTTCCCCTCCCTCCCATCCCTCCAGTATGGCAGCCTTCTTACCTTTGGGATAGTTGCTTTCTCAGGCAGGTGAGTGGGAACCAAGGGCATGATAAGCGATGCTGCTTTTGCGGGAAGGTGAGTCAAAATGAAGGGCAAGAAAATTTGTGGCCATGATAAATGAATGGAAGCCCGTGGCCCAAGCCTGTGGCCCAAGCCTGTGGCCCAAGCCCAAACCTTAATGCACAAGCCTCTTGTGCCAAGCCTCTTGTTTCAAGCCTCTTGTCCCAAGCCTCGTGACCCCCTCCGCCCTCCCCCGTCCCCTCAAAGCTCAACCCAATCCACACCCCTCCCACACTACCCACATCCCCTTCCGTCCCCTTCTCTCCTCCCTCCCACCCCCGTTTTTCCCCTCCCTCCCCCCCTTAACCCACTCTTCTCCTCACTTGCTTCACCTGTTACCCGTCAGCAGCGTATGAGGAAAGAGCTCCGGGCGTTATGGCCCCCTCTTGTTCAACTCCCACCTGCTCCTTCCTCAACTCCCTTCACACCCCTTTCCTCCCCACGATTCCCCACTTCCTTTCCCCTCCCAACGCATCAGCTGTTACCTGTCAGCAGCGTATGAGGATAGAGCTCTGGGCGTTATGGCCCCCTCTTGTTCTGACCCCCTCTTTCCCCCTCCACACCCGTCACCCTGCCTATCCCCTTCCTCTCATCACCTCTTACCTGTCAGCAGCACACGAGGACAGCGCTCCGGGCGTTATGGCCCACCATTGTTCATCTCCCTCCCACCTGCTTTTTCCTCAACTCCCTTAACACCCCTTTCCTCCCTACGATTCCCCACTTCCTTTCCCCTCCTCACTTGCTTCACCTGTTACCTGTCAGCAGCGCACGAGGACAGCGCTCCGGGCGTTATGGCCCACACTTGCTGCCCTCCCACCGACCCCTTACTCGTCTCTCTGACCCCCTCTCCCCCCCCCCACCCACCACGCTGCCTATCCGCGCGTGATGAGTCGATTTTTGAGTCGACTCAAAAGCCCTCCCACCGAGCCCTTACTCGTCTCTCTGACCCCCTCTCCCCCCCCTCCACCCACCACCCTGCCTATCCCCTTCCCCTCATCAGCTGTTACCTATCAGCAGCATATGAGGACAGAGCCTTGGGTGTTGGGGCTCTCTTTGGCTCCCTTTGGCTCCCTTTGGCCCACACTTGCTCAGAAGCCCTCCCGTCCCCCCACATCCTACACTCCCCATCCCCCAACTCACCTTTCCCCTCCCCCATCATCATCAGCTGTTACCTATCAGCAGCATATGAGGACAGGGCCTTGGGTGTTGGGGCTCCCTTTGACTCAAAGCCCTCCCGTGCCCCCCACTTCCCGCACTCTCCCTCCCCCAATTCACCTTGCCGCTCTCACCTTTCCCCTCTCCTCTCATCAGCTGTTACCTATCAGCAGCATATGAGGACAGGGCCTTGGGTGTTGGGGCTCCCTTTGACTCAAAGCCCTCCCGTGCCCCCCACTTCCCGCACTCTCCCTCCCCCAATTCACCTTGCCGCTCTCACCTTTCCCCTCTCCTCTCATCAGCTGCTACCTATCAGCAGCATATGAGGACAGGGCCTTGGGTGTTGGGGCTCCCTTTGACTCAAAGCCCTCCCGTGCCCCCCACTTCCCGCACTCTCCCTCCCCCAATTCACCTTGCCGCTCTCACCTTTCCCCTCTCCTCTCATCAGCTGTTACCTATCAGCAGCATATGAGGACAGGGCCTTGGGTGTTGGGGCTCCCTTTGACTCAAAGCCCTCCCGTGCCCCCCACTTCCCGCACTCTCCCTCCCCCAATTCACCTTGCCGCTCTCACCTTTCCCCTCTCCTCTCATCAGCTGTTACCTATCAGCAGCATATGAGGACAGGGCCTTGGGTGTTGGGGCTCCCTTTGACTCAAAGCCCTCCCGTGCCCCCCACTTCCCGCACTCTCCCTCCCCCAATTCACCTTTCCGCTCTCACCTTTCCCCTCTCCTCTCATCAGCTGTTACCTATCAGCAGCATATGAGGACAGGGCCTTGGGTGTTGGGGCTCCCTTTGACTCAAAGCCCTCCCGTGCCCCCCACTTCCCGCACTCTCCCTCCCCCAATTCACCTTGCCGCTCTCACCTTTCCCCTCTCCTCTCATCAGCTGCTACCTATCAGCAGCATATGAGGACAGGGCCTTGGGTGTTGGGGCTCCCTTTGACTCAAAGCCCTCCCGTGCCCCCCACTTCCCGCACTCTCCCTCCCCCAATTCACCTTGCCGCTCTCACCTTTCCCCTCTCCTCTCATCAGCTGTTACCTATCAGCAGCATATGAGGACAGGGCCTTGGGTGTTGGGGCTCCCTTTGACTCAAAGCCCTCCCGTGCCCCCCACTTCCCGCACTCTCCCTCCCCCAATTCACCTTGCCGCTCTCACCTTTCCCCTCTCCTCTCATCAGCTGTTACCTATCAGCAGCATATGAGGACAGGGCCTTGGGTGTTGGGGCTCCCTTTGACTCAAAGCCCTCCCGTGCCCCCCACTTCCCGCACTCTCCCTCCCGTCTGGGGGGCGCCAAGCTCCGCAAGAAGGAAGCAGAGCCAGCGCGACTCCTGGGCGGCCATGGTGCCAGCGTAGAGCTCGGTTTCGCAGGTGGAGAGAGAGATGGCGGAGGAGCGGGTGGAGCGCCAGCTGATGAGGCCGCTGCCAAGGGTGAAGCCGTAGCCCTGGGAGGAGCGGCGGTCCGGCTGCGTGTCAGCCCATGAGGAGTCACTGAAGCCCGAGAGAAGGGGACGGGAAGGGCCGCCGAGGGTGAGGGCAAGGTCCCTGGTCCCGCGAAGGTAGCGGAGGACCCGCTTGGCAGCTTTCCAGTGCTCCTCAGAGTGACGACCGGTGCCGACAAAGCGAGCGAGCACGCTGATGGGGTAGGCGAGGTCGGGGCGGGTGCACATCATTGCGTACATCAAGGACCCAACGAGCTCGGCATAGGGGTGGGGGGAGGAGGTGGGGGAGGTGGGTGGAGCGAGTTGGTGACCGAAGGGGAGCGGGGTGGAAACAGGCTTGGCTTGCGCCATGTCGAACTTCTCCAAGACCTGGCCGATGTAATGGGACTGGGAGAGGGTGATTGTGCGAGCAGGGCGGTTGCGCGTGATGGTCATGCCGAGGTAGTGAGTGAGGGCGCCAAGGTCCTTGCACTTGAGCCGCTGCTGCAGGGACAGCTTCACCTGCTCCATGTCGGCCTTGGTGTCAGAGAGCAGGATCATGTCGTCGACATATACCAGAATGAAGAAGCGGCGGGGGGAGGAGCGGATGAAGAGGCTGGCGTCGGAGTGGGAAGCAGAGAAGCCGAGGGACCCCAAGGTGGCAGCCAGCTTCGCATGCCACTCACGTGGTGCCTGCTTCAAGCCGTAGACGGGGCGACGCAGCTGCCAGACAGTGTTCTCAGGAAAGGCTGCGTGGAACCCGGGGGGTCGCCGGAGGAAAATGCGCTCATGCAGGTCGCCCTGCAGGAACGCATTGGAGACGTCCATGGAGTCGATTTCCATGTCGTCACGTGCACCAATGTCCATGGCGGCGCGAAGGGTGGGTGGTTTGGCGGTGGGGGCGTAGGTGAACCAGTAGTCCTCAGCCCAAGTCTGCGTGAACCCCTTGGCGCAGTAGCGGGCCTTGTACACTGGTTCCTCGCCCGGCAGCTGCTTCACCCGAAAGACCCATTTGCCGTCAACGAGATTAGCGCCAGCAGGGAGGGGGACATCGACAAAGGAGTCGTTGCGAATGAAAGCCTCACACTCCAGGAAGATCGTTGCTATCCATTTATCCGCATCAGGGCAGGTGATGGCTTCCTGGAAGGTGGAGGGAGTGAAGATGGTGGGGGTAGTAGTGGCGCCAAGGACAGGAAAGCCCAGGAAGTCAAGGTAGAGGGCGGCAAGGAATGGAGTGTGCTCCCGAATGTTGAGGAACTCCTCATGGGAGTCCTCAAGGAGCTGAATGGAGGCAGGAGGAGGAGCCCCAAGGATTTTGTCCACCGAGCGGGTATGGATGTAAGGGAGGAGGAAGGGGGAGGAGCGGGAAGTGGCACGGCGCCGCTGCTGCTGCTGGTGCTGCTGCTGCTGCTGCTGATGCTGCTGCTGCTGCTGCTGTCCCGGCTGCTGCTGATGCGGCTGCCCCGGCTGCTGCTGCTGCTGCTGCTGCTCCGGCTGCTGCTGCTGCTGCTGCTGCTGCTGCCCCGGCTGCTGCTGCTGCTGCCCCTGCTGCCGTTGCTGGTGTTGCTCCCGCTGCTGCTGCTGCTGCTGCTGCTGCTGGTGCTGCTGCTGCCCCTGCTGTTGCTGATCCGGCTGCTGCTGCTGCTGCTGCCCCTGCTGTTGCTGATCCGGCTGCTGGAAAGGAGGAGAATGAGAGGAGGGAGAGGGGGGAGGGGGTGCAGCTGAGTGAGCGGGGGAGGCGGGTGCGGCAGGGTCGTAGACGTCGGCAGAGGAGGAAGGCGGGAGTGGGGCGGCGACAGGTGGGAGGAGAGGCGCTGGAGGGATAAGAGGCGGGAGGATGGTTTCGGTCCAAGCGAGGGGGCGAGTGGGAGGAGGGAGGGGGTCAGGAGGAGGGGTGGAGTAGTAGGGAGTGGACTCGTCGAAGACGACGTCAATGCTGCGGATGAGGCGATTGGTGGGAGGGTGGAGGAATAGGTAGCCTGGGGAATCACGATTGTGCCCAAGGTAGACGCACTCCAGAGCGCGAGGAGCGAGCTTGCCAGCAGCGCGGGAGCGGTCGGCCGGTGGAATGAGGACGAACGCCTTGCAGCCCCAAACACGAAGGCCTGCGGCGTCAGGCTTGGCCTTGGACCAGAGTTCTGTGGGGGAGGAGGAGGGATGCTGAGGGTGGGAGCGGAGATTGAGGAGGAGGGCGGCATGAATGAGGGCATAGCTCCAGAGGGAGGGAGGGGTGGAGGCGTGAGCAATGAGGCAGCGCGCAATCTTGGTGATCTCACGGATGCGACTCTCAGCGATGCCGTTTTGCTGAGGGGAGTGGGGAAGGGTGGTGGTCTGCTGAATGCCGTATGTTTTGCAGTAAGTGGAGAGAGTATGATTGATGAACTCACCCCCACCGTCAGAGTGAAGGCGGCCTATGGGACGTTTGAAGTGGTTGCGGCACTGCTCAGCCCAGTTGATGACCACAGCCGGCACCTGGTCTTTCGTGTGAAGAAAGAAGACGGTGGAGTACCGACTGTGGTCGTCGACGAGCACGAGCATGTACCTGTGCCCCTGACGGGAGCGGATGGGATAAGGGCCCCAGAGATCCATGTGAACAAGGTCAATGGGGGCGGGAGCGAAGGTGGGATGACTGTGATGGGGGGACTGTTTGAGCTTGCCATGAATGCATGATGGGCATGGGGGAGCAGGGGAGGAGGGGAGGGGAGGTAAGGTGGGAGGAAGGCTGTTAAGGAGGCGAGAGGTGACGGTGGAGCGAAGTGCGGCGAAGTTGGGATGGCCGAGTCTGTGATGTAGGAGCACTGCAGGATGGGAGAGGGCAGTAGAGGAGGAGGGGGATGGGGTGGGGGAAAAGTTGGGGGGGGAGGAGGAGGCGGATGGAGTAGAGGAGGAGGATATCGGAGGAGGGGGAGGGGGAGGGTGAGGGGGAGGGAGAAGGGGACCGGTGGAAGTACCAGCACGAGTGGTGACGTGACAAAAGGAGGGACGGGGTGTGCGGAGCGTGTAAAGGCGAGTGCGAGGGCAAAGGGGAATGCGCAGGAGGAAACGACCAGAGGCGGTGTGGTAGAGATCGCAGTAGGAAGCAAAGCCAGGGTATATGGCGGTAATGCCAACGCCTTGGAGTTCACGGTGGGAGAGGAGGTTATTGCGAAGGGTAGGGATGTGGAGACCGGTGACTGTACCGGATGGGAAGGCGGTGCAAGGAAGGGTGGAGAGGTGAGTGCAGGGGATGGAAAAGCTGGAGTCGGCACCATGAACCTGGGTGGGAAGTGGAAGGGGGGTGAGGGTGCCAGCGTCTTTTAGTGCGGTTTCGGTGGCCCCACTGTCAAGGACAAAGTCCAGGGTGGGGGGGGAAGGAGAGGGAGGGAACACAGAGTACTGGAGAGTTGTTTCATGGATAGAAGAGGGAGAGAGCGGCGGGTGCTGCTGCTGTAAGTACTGTTGCTGCTGCGGCTGCTGCGGTTGGAGAGACTGTGACGGTTGCGGCTGGAGAGATTGGGCTGCTGCTGCTGCTGGAAGCACCGCCGATGCTGCCGCGGTTGCTGCGGCTGGAGAGATTGTGGTGGCTGCTGCTGCTGCGGATGGAGAGAACTGTGGCTGGTGCTGCTGCTGGAAGCACTGCTGCTGCTGCGGCTGAAGAAACTGTGGCTGCCGCTGCTGCTGGAAGGACTGCTGCTGCTGCGGCAGAAGGAACTGTGGCAGCTGCTGCTGCTGGAAGCACTGCTGCTGCTGCGGCTGAAGAGACTGTGGCTGCTGCTGCTGCAGGAAGGACTGCTGCTGCTGCGGTGGAAGGAACTGTGGCAGCTGCTGCTGCTGGAAGGACTGCCGCTGCTGCGGCTGGAAGGACTGCTGCTGCTGGGGATGGAGAAACTGTGGCGGGTGAGGCTGGAGAGATTGCGGCTGCTGTTGGTGTTGGAAGAACTGCTGCTGCTGCGATTGCCGCGGCTGGAGGAGATGTGGGGGGTGCGGCTGGAGAAATTGTGGTTGCTGCCGCTGCTGGAAGTCCTGCTGCTGCTGATGCTGGAGCTGCTGGAAACGCCGCAGATGGGGAGGGGGGGAGGGGGTGAGCAGGCGGAGATAAGGGGGGGGGGAGGAGTGGAGGGTCGGAGTGTTGAGAAGGGAGGGGCGAGGAGTAACACTGCTCCAGTGAGGAGGGGGGAGAGGGGCAGGGGGGGTAGCAGTCATGATGGGCGACGGCGGGTGGACCCGCGGCGGCCAAGGGTGAAGTTGCTGCTGCGGAGGCTGCTGCACTTCCCCTGCTGCCGCTGCTGCTGCCGCTGGCAGGAGGAGGGAGGGGGGGGGGGGGGCGGGGGTAAAGGAGGGAGACAGCGGTGGAGGGCAGAGGCGTTCAAGGTGCAGGGAGCGACGGTGACAAGGGCGCAGGCGGCTGTGCGAACGTGCGGCGGCGGGAAGGGGAGGCGGTGGCAAAGTCGGGGGCGGCGGCGGCGAGCAGGCCGCGACGACGAGGGGCGCAGGCGACGGCGGAAGGGCCGCGGCGGCGAAACGAGGGACGGCGGCGGCAGGCAGGCCGCGGCAACGAGGGGCGCAGGGGGAGGGGGAGGGGGGGGGGAGAGGAGTAGGGAGAGGAGGAAGGGAGGGTGCAGTTGCGGCTGAATCTGCAGGCGGCGACGGGGCAGTCACGGCGGCAGGAAGTGTGGGCGGGGATGGCGCGGTCGCGGTGGAGGATGGGCAGGCGGCGCCGAAGCAGTCGCGGCGGTAGGGCGGCGGCGGCGCAGTGGCGTTAACGGGAACCGCGGGGCGACGATGTTGCAGTTGCGGCGGGGGAAATTGCGGGAGGGTGGCGATGCAGAAGGGGCAGCGAGATGCGTGGGTGACGCGGAAGCAGGTGCGGCGGTGGGAGGGGAGGCGGCAATGCGAAATCGCGGCGGGGGGGGGTGGGGGGGGGGGGGGGGGGGGGGTGGGGGCGGGGAGGTGACGACGAGCAGTCGCGGCGGCGGAATGCGCAGGCGGCGATGTTAGGTCGCGGCGGCGGGACGGGCAGGGGGCGACGAGCTGTCGCGGCGGCGGGACGGGCAGACGGCGCCGAAGCAGGCGCGGCGGCGGGAAGGGGAGGCGGCGACGTGACGTCGCGGCGGAGGGACGGGCAGGCGGCGACGAGGCGTCGCGGCGGCGGGATGCGCAGGCGGCGCCGAAGCAGGCGCGGCGGCGGGAACGCGGCGACGAGACGTCGCGGCGGAGGGACGGGCAGGCGGCGACGAGGTGTCGCGGCGGCAGGATGCGCAGGCGGCGCCGTAGCAGGCGCGGCGGCGGGAACGCGGCGACGAGACGTCGCGGCGGAGGGACGGGCAGGCGGCGACGAGGCGTCGCGGCGGCAGGATGCGCAGGCGGCGCCGAAGCAGGCGCGGCGGCGGGAACGCGGCGACGAGACGTCGCGGCGGAGGGACGGGCAGGCGGCGACGAGGCGTCGCGGCGGCAGGATGCGCAGGCGGCGCCGTAGCAGGCGCGGCGGCGGGAACGCGGCGACGTGACGTCGCGGCGGAGGGACGGGCAGCGGGCAGGCGGCGACGAGGCGTCGCGGCGGCAGGATGCGCAGGCGGCGCCGAATCAGGCGCGGCGGCGAGAAGGGGAGGCGGCGACAGGGGGTCGCGGCGGGGGGGGAGGAGGGGACAGCGGCGTTGCGCTCGCGGCGGTGGAATCCGCAGGCGAGGAAGGCGTAATCGCGGCGGGAGGGGGGGGGAACGGCGGCGACGGCGTAGGTCGCGGCGAGAGTATGCTAGTGATGGCTAGTTGAGCCACGCGTAGGAAAGGGTTTGTAGCTGTGGGGTGGGCCCATGGGAAAAAAAAAAACTGAAGGGAGGGAGAGGTAAGGCCTAGGAACAAGTAGCTCTATACCATGTGAAAGTAGCAAATTGAACAAGTGATCAGATTAGAGGAACAACCTAGCATACATAGTTGGAAGGGAAGGTTGGAAGGGAAGGATGAAAGTGACCATAGGTTGGGTTGACCTCACTTGGGGAAGTGAGGGAACCATAGGTCAAGTGGGTTGGGTTGCCCACACTTTGTAGAAGTGAGGCAACCCTAGGCCCACTTGGCTTGGGGTAACCTCAATTGTGGGAAGTGAGGTACCCACAAGTCAAGAGGGTTGCATTTGGGGGCTCCACCACAATTGGGTGGATTGGCACCCCAAAGTGCAAGACTACACCCAAAGTTGGGTGTAGTCCCAACCCAACTGTACACCACAATTGGTGTACAGTCACATGTGTTGGCATGCTACACAATATATATTTTAACAAATTCACCTTGCCGCTCTCACCTTTCCCCTCTCCTCTCATCAGCTGTTACCTATCAGCAGCATATGAGGACAGGGCCTTGGGTGTTGGGGCTCCTTTTGACTCAAAGCCCTCCCGTGCCCCCCACTTCCCGCACTCTCCCTCCCCCAATTCACCTTGCCGCTCTCACCTTTCCCCTCTCCTCTCATCAGCTGCTACCTATCAGCAGCATATGAGGACAGGGCCTTGGGTGTTGGGGCTCCCTTTGACTCAAAGCCCTCCCGTGCCCCCCACTTCCCGCACTCTCCCTCCCCCAATTCACCTTGCCGCTCTCACCTTTCCCCTCTCCTCTCATCAGCTGTTACCTATCAGCAGCATATGAGGACAGGGCCTTGGGTGTTGGGGCTCCCTTTGACTCAAAGCCCTCCCGTGCCCCCCACTTCCCGCACTCTCCCTCCCCCAATTCACCTTGCCGCTCTCACCTTTCCCCTCTCCTCTCATCAGCTGCTACCTATCAGCAGCATATGAGGACAGGGCCTTGGGTGTTGGGGCTCCGTTCGGGGGATTCGCCTTCATTGGAGCCTGGCTTTCTGCTGCCTTCTGATTGGCTGATTGTGTGGATTTTATTGTACATACCGGTATCCTTATTTGTCCATGTTCTTCCTGTAAACCATACTCAAACATATAGAAATACATTGCTATGGCATTTGCATGCGCAACATTCGTGAAATAAAAAATGAGCACTACAGTACAATACATTTTTTAGGTTTATAATAAGGGCTTTAAATCGGCTACTCGTCATCCCTCTAATGGCTAGCTTATTTCCCTGATGACAAAACAGCACACCAAAGAGGGCTGAGAGGGCTGAGATGAGACAATCCCCGAATCACATTTTCATGTTATTTTCAATGCTAGTATGATGCTCTTGCTGTTACGTTGTGCCTTATACCCCACTCGCGTGCACCATCTCTCTTCCCTTCATCATCAAATCAGGCAGTGGAATTACCGGTATGCCCCACCCACGAAGTCAACCACTTGGCGACCTGCATGGGGTGGGGTGCCGCGCGATAGGGTGCAGTGGAAAGAGAAGCGGGTGGGTAAGAAGGATGGCTGCTGGTAACATTTGGATCAACACGGCGGTCACTTGTAGACCTGGATGGGTGGTGTGTGGTACAACAGTGAGCCATATGAGTGGGGAGTGGAGTCAGTCAGAGTGAATGTAGGAGGATGGAATTGAGTCGACCAAGTCAACTGGAGATCAATTCAAGTCAACTCAAGTCAACCCTAGTCAGCAGTGCAGTTACATCAGCCATGGCAGGCCGAGCCTTGGGGTTGCTGGCGAGGCAGATCACAGCCAGCATAGCCACTGCCTGCAGCTGACTCTTGGGAGTGAAACCACAGCCCCTCTACACCAAGTCAACCCAAGTCAATGGGAGTCAACTCAGGTCAACCCAAGTCAACTCAACACTCACATCAGCCATGGCGGGTCTGTCCTTGGGGTTGCTGGCGAGGCAGATCACAGCCAGCATCGCCACTGCCTGCAGCTGACTCGGGTCGTACCGCCCCTCTAGGCGATAGTCCACTAAACGATGAAATTCCCCTGATTTGGCCACAGGGATTGCCTGTGGGGAAAAAATAAAGGCGGGAGGGCGAGAGGGGAGGGAGGACGCCAATGAGAGGGCAAGAATCGTGCTGCAAACCCTTTGCCTCAGCCACTCACTTCCTAGTCCAACCACAACTCCTTTTGAGAACTCTCAAAAGTTCCTAGTCCCAACAAAGTTGATTTCCGAAAAACTCTCAAAAGCCAAATCGTGCCGCGAATCCTTTTCCTTGACCACTCAGCTCCTAGTCTGAACCCTAATTGAACCGAACAAACCCAACCAGCCACTCACCTGCATGATCCCACTGATGAAATTCGTTGGGTTCGAAACGCAGCAAGCCTGCTAAGAGTAACAATCTATAGCACTAGTCTACTAATCTACTAAACCCAACTAGCCACTCACCTGCATGATCCCACTGACCCACCCACCCACTCACCCATGCAAACAGCAAACAGGTACACTGGTGCTCGGCTTGGGTGGAAGGGGATGTGCCCTGTGATGAGCTCTAGCAACACCACCCCGACACTGAACCCACTGACCAAAGTGAATCCACTCACCAGAGTAAACGCATTCCACCAGAATGAACCCATTCCCCACTCACCCATGCTAAGAGGTATGCTGGTGTTCTGGATGGGTGGAAGGGGATGTGCCCTGTGATGAGCTCTAGCAACACCACTCTCCAACACTGAACCCACTGACTAAAATGAACCCACACAGTCACCCACACGCACCCACCCACTTACTCACCCATCTGAGTAGATTAATCCTCACCCTCACTCACCCACGCAAAGAGGTATGCGGGTGTTCTGCTTGGGTGGAAGGGGATGTGCCCTGTGATGAGCTCTAGCAACACCACTCCGAATGCAAACACATCCACCGCTTGTGTGATCTTGCCTGTCCGCACATACTCCGGTGCTACATATCTGCAAGCAAGCAAGAGGGCAAGAGAGGAGAGTGAAAGAGGCATGGCGGGATGGTAGACGTGGGGCTTCCGTGGTCTAGTCACTCTCTGGTAATCATATGATGATAATAATAATAATAATAATAATACTAATGATAACAATAATAATAACAACAACAATGATAATAATAATAACAATAACAATACTTGTAATAATAGTATAATAAGAGTAATAATAATAACACTAACAATAACAATAATATAATTAATAATAAAACAACAACTGACCCTTGTGTGCCCATGATTGCCGTAACAGTCATTGGCTGTGTGAAATGCTCCGGTGCGACTTTCGCCAACCCAAAGTCCGATACCTGGTGGTTGGGAGGGAGAAAGAAAGGGGAGGGAAGAAGAAGGTGGGGAGGGGTTTCATTTCATCTGCTTGAAATGCTCCGATGCGACTTTCGCCAACCCAAAGTCCGATACCTGGTGACGCGGGGCAAAGAGGGGATGTTGGAGGAGGGGAGGTGGGAGAAATTGGGGCAGGAGAGGTGGGAAGGGGAGGGGGGGGGGAGGGAGGAAGGGGGGGAAGAAAGGAAGGGAGTTAGGGGAGGAGGGATGGGAGGGGAAGAGGAGGGGGTAGGGGAACAACGGGAGGAGCAGGTTTGATGACAAAACACTTGGGACAGCTATCAGTAGCTTGACAGCCTCCATGGGTTCCACGTCTTCATCCAGAATAATATTTTCCGGCTTCACATCCCGGTGAATGATAGGCGGGCGGACGGTGTGTTACAAGAGAAGCAGACATGAGGGCAGGAGAGAGGGAAAAAGGAGCAGGGTGGCAAGGGCCATAAAATGGATTTTAAAACGGAAGAGTGACGGGCCATACCATGGCCATGGGCTCCAAGTCTTCATCCAGTAAAATATTCCCCGACTTCACATCCCGGTGGATGATCGGCAGGCGGGCGGTGGGTTACAAGACAGCCAAAGGACGACACTTTCCCAAGTCTTTATCCAGCCAAAGGGCACAGGGCACACAAGGGACAAGGGAGAGCATACATACCACAGGCTCCAAGTCCTCATCCAGCAGAATATTCCCCGACTTCACATCCCGGTGAATGATAGGCGGGCGGCACCCACTGTGCAGAAACGCCAAACCCCTCGCCGCCCCACTCGCAATCTCCAGCCGCTGCTGCCACGTCAGCGGCGGCTTGCGGTTATCCCGTAACTGCATGTCGAGCGCGCCGTTCGGGAGGTAGTCGAAGACCATTAGGAGCTCGCCAGCTGTCACGCACGCGCCGAGCATGCGCAGCAGGTTCGGGTGCCGAACCTTCCGGACCACCCGAAGCTCCGTGAGAAATTGTTTCGTGTTGACCGCACACTTTTTTTCGGCCAGGGCAGGCCCCCACCACCGCAGCCGCTTCACTGCAACTTTTTGCTTGCTGCCCGCTAAAATCTCCTTCATTCTCCCACTCCCACCTTCCGCTCCCCCCCCTCCCACTCCCCCCCCAAAATCTGGGACCGCCATTGTAATCGTTCCCAAAAAAACCTGCCCAGATCCGCCCTCCCCTAGAACATTCGTCAGGTTGAAATTATCAGTGGCTTTAAGAATCTGTTCAAGTGTAAACTCTTGCTCCCCATACTCCTCTCTCCCGTACACCTCCCGGAGTATTTCCGAAGGCGGGGGAGGGGGGAGGAGGTCAGCAGAGGGGTTGAGAGGGTTGGGAGCGATGAGGACGGTGGGGTCTTGTTTCCATCCCCCATCGGCTGCTGCTGCTGCAGGGATGGGGGAAGGGGAGGGGGAGGGGGTAGGCGCTGCGGGTGCTGCTGATGCTGGTGCTGGTGCTGCTGATGGTACTGGTGGTGTTGCTGCTGTTACTGCTTCCCCTCCCCCACTCCCCTCCGCACCACCCATTCCCTCCCCATCTACCTCCATCATCTCACCACCTCCCCTCCCCTCCCCCTCCCCACCCCCCTCTCTCTCCCCGCTCCCCACCCCAAACTCAGACCCAAAACCACCCGCCTGGCACTCCCTAGGGTCTGAGGCAGAACCGGGGGAGGGGGTATATGAGGCAGAAGAAGCAGCAGAGACAGCCGAAGGGGTGTTTAGGGCGGAGAGGGGGGAAACAGGCGATGCGGAAGGGTGGAGAGGGGAGGGAGAGGGGTTGGGAGCGGTGGAGAGCTCTCCGGATTTGGAGAGGGAGCAGGCGCCATGTGAGACGAGCATGAGTTTGGTTGTGGTGGGGAGACGACGAGCGAGCAGAGTGACGGTTTCTTGGGTAGCTGAGGAGATGGAGGAACTGGGGTGTGGGGAGGGCGGGGAGTAAAGGAAGGGAGGGATGGGAAGAAGGGACGTGGGAGACGAGCATGACTTTGGTGGTGGTGGGGAGGCGACGGGCGAGATGAGCCACTGTGTCCTGAGTGGCTGAGGAGATGGAGGAACTGGGGGCGTGGGGAGGGCGGGGAGGAAAGGAAGGGAGGGATGGGAAGAAGGGACGTGGGAGACGAGCATGACTTTGGTGGTGGTGGGGAGGCGACGGGCGAGATGAGCCACTGTGTCCTGAGTGGCTGAGGAGATGGAGGAACTGGGGGCGTGGGGAGGGACGAAAGGAAGGGAGGGATGGGAAGGGTGTGGGGGGGGGAAAGGGAGGGTGGGGAAGAACGGGAGGGGGGAGGAGGGGGGTGCGTGGGAAGGGGGGATAGAGGGGGAGAAAAGAAAGAAGGGATGGGAATAAGGCGACGGCACGGGAGCAGGGTGGGAAGGGGCAGTCAGAGGGAAAAAAGGGGGATAACCGCTACCATAACCTTACTCCCACCAGCGACCAAGAACCCATTTCTTGAAGCCCATAATTCACTGCTTGGCCACACCAGCACCACGACCCCCTGCTTCCTTTCATCACCAGCACCACGACCCCCTGCTTCCTTTCATCACCAGCACCACGACCCCCTGCTCCCACAGCGTCAATGCCCCCTGCATAAAAACTTTGGGCCGCCTCAAAAGTCGTCCGCTCACCTCTTGAAGCCCAAGCTTCCTTTCTTTGCCGCTCCCAACACCACGATCCCTGCTCCCAGCGTCAACGCCCCCTGCAGCAGCCCCTGGGGCACGTCGGCCGCCCAGCACACGCACACCTCCACCCTGACCTGTAGATGGGAAAGAGAGGGAGGGCAGGGGGAAAGCGTGGGAAGGAAGGCGTGAGCGGTTGCCCCCCAGAGAATCACGACCTCTGCTCCCAGGGTGAATGCGCGCTGCAGCAAACCCTGGGGCACGTGTGCTGCCCAGCACACACATACGTCCACTCGAACCTGTTGCTGGGAGGAGTGAGAGCAGAGGGAAGGAATGAGTGAACCCTCCCTTACTGCACCACTATCCCTGCACCCAGCGTTGCCCCCTGCAGCAGGCCCTGGGGCACGTCTGCCGCCCAGCACACACACACCTCCACTCGAACCTGTTGATGGGAGAAGGAGGAAGCGCAAGGGAAAAGGGGACGGGAAGAAAGCGTTTGGCCCCCAGCTTCCGCCACAGCCCCCTCACCTCCCCTGTTTGGCGGAGTTGTTTCCGCCAGTGCTTGCAGAACTGCTGCCCCCACTCTTCCCCCTCATCGCCTGCTGATCCCCCCTACTATCACCCGCTTTTTCCCCCACCCTCCCCCCACCTCTTTCACCTCCTCCAGGACTCCCCTTTCCCTTCCCCCCCTGTCTCTCGCAACTCCCCCTCACCTGCTTGGCGGAAGCTACTTCCGCCAGTGGCTGCAGCGCTGACAGCACCAACCTCCGCGCCTCTATATCCCCCTGCTCCCCCCGCTCCCCCCGCTCCCCCCGCTCCCCCCGCTCCCTCTCCCCCCCCGTTTGTATCACCAGCGCCACCACTCTATCCCCCGGTACAACCAGCCTCGATAAAGCGAAATCCACAAGCGCCAGTCCATCCTTCGATACAGTCACACCCGCACTCCCCGCTCCGCCTCCCCCGGCGTCTTTTCCGCTTCCTCCGCGCAGCCCCCAAAAGGAGCCTCCTGATTGGTGCAGAGTCACGCCGACCAGAACCAGTTTCGGCCCGCCGTGACGCGCGGAGCCGGCGGAAGACGCGGCGGAGTTGGCGGCGGGAGTAGCGGCGGGAGATGCGGCGAAAGGGGAGGCTAACGGGGAGTCGCCGAGAGGGGAGCGGAAGCGGGGGGAGATCGGCGGGGATCGAGTCAGCATATCGGCAAATTGAAAGTAGTGGATAGAGAAAGCCGGGGGATCTAAAAAAGGGAGTTCTTTAGGTGTCGCAGAATATATGGGTAGTAGAGAAATAAGGGATCCTTGATAAACGAAGGTAACAGGGAAATGCAGGAACTTGAAATTGTTGGCCTGGACTCCTTTCCTCCTGAATGCCAGCAGCCTCGTCGCGAGTGAGCGGGTCGACCCGGTTTGTCGGTTACCAGGTTACCAGATCACGATCGTTTCAAAGCTGGCAGCAATGTAATGGACACGTGGCTTGATGAGGACGTAAAAAAATCGCGTAATCTACGCCTCTGATTCCTCTGAGGTGGTCCTTCTAGGCGTTTCTAGGCGGCTCGAGATCGGCAGATGGTCCCTACGATGTTATCGACTGCTTTCATTGCGTGACTTGCGGAAATGTTATCCGTTACAAGCACATCTCGAAATCGACGAGAGACAGGCAGCATTCGCGAAGAGAAACGCGGGAAATGCAGCTAAGGATTCACGCTGGCAGCACGATAAGATAAGCCGCAGTTGCCGCTGCACTTGAAGTGACTGCTGAAAGGGATTTTTTTGCTGGGCTTATCTTACACGAGGAGCTAACTCCAACCAGCGAATTAACCTCGAAGCCACAGCCTTTAGGATATTATGGCTTTGCTTCTAACAAACATACCCAGCGTTCCCACTCTATGAAATATGAGGCGTAAACACTCCGGTACGATACAATTCAATAAGGTCCGGGACGGTACTACGGTACAGAACAGTATGGATGTCTATATTCAGTCACAAATGTCGGGGGTGCCGGGAAGATGAAGGCAGGACACGGATGCTGCCAGTGCCACCCACCCACGCAGGCCGCGGGCAAGTGAAAGAAACGAGAAATACTGTAGAATTGGAGGTGGTTCAACCTATGGTGCTCGTATCATCAGCCGTTGGCGTGAACATGCGGGTAAAGGATGTATCGAAGTCTCTAAATTGAGTCATAAGGGCGCGTGTGATTTTTTTTGGGGTTCGTATTTAAGGTCGAACTTTAGGTGGTAACCAGTTTCGCCAATGTTAGCAGGAGATTTCGCCAATGGTGACTCCAATTTCAAGAGTACCAGGTGCGAACATACAAATGTGAACAAGATTCGAATATATGCACAAACTTTGTGTAGCACACTGAACCGAACGTGTGTGGTTTCAGGCACGTACGAGGAACCAGCGAAGCTCGCGACTCTTTCGCGCTGTCAATAGAAGAATACCGGGTAACCTACACACCCTATAGGCGGCTCGGTCCCCCCCCTGTAAGCTCGAACCTGCAAATTCGCACTTTCGTGTGTGATTGTGAATCTACAAGCAAGGTCACCTGCGGTTCGAACATTGCCAATGCTCAAAGTCGAGTCATGTTCAAATGCTTAAATCGAGTCAAAAACATAAACTTATGGCAAAATCAAAAATCACACGCGCCCTAAAAGCAGGCGAGATAAGTAATCGGGGTGGCGGGAGTGTGGGTGGGGGAGGGCTCGCAGGTGAGGTGGGGTGCTGCCAGGGGGCGGCATGCGCTGCGAGTCATGAACTCCAGTTGGCCAAGTTCACTCATCTCGCATCATACTCTCTAGAACGTACAACCTATACCGCGGATGGAAACATGGAGTTTTCGAGAACGCATGCTCTAAAATACTAGCCGAAAGTGTACAGTAGCAAATAAATAACGAATGGATCTATGACGAATCCTAGTTCAGTCCCATCCCATCTATACTCTGATGATGATCACGAGGACTTGCGTGTGCGAGCGACCATACCTAGGGATGACGCACATTTTCTTATCATTTCTGCTACATTGATCACTTGTCGCGGATCCAGTTCCTTTCTTACCGCTTCCCTCGTCATTCCGTGCCGGTTCCGCCGTTCGTGAAGTCCCGCTCGTTTCCGCAGTCGCGGGATATTATCGCATTCGCTCGCCTGCGACTTGGAGAATGAGTCGATCGTGACGTGCGTAGAAGGTGATTAATTTGCAAATTATAAGCGCAGCCTTTCGTTTCACTCGCTTACATCATCTATCAAGATTTGAACCCGCGACCACCATGTCGTTCCTACCCATCCTCGACTACGGTGTACCACCTACAGCCACCACGTCTGACGGTGATGGTAATTCTATTAACAGTAACCCTAGCGGCAGTGACGTGAGTAACACGGCAGCGACTTCCTCTGCTTCTGCTGGCGGTGGTAATCCACCCTCTCGGGCAAAGGGCGCAACCGCGAGCGGGGAAGGCGGAACCGCAGGCGCGGGAGGCGCAAAAGCGGATGGCGAAGGCGGAGGGGAAGGCGGAGGGGAAGAAGACGGGGAAGGGGAAGGCGGGGACGGGGAAAGGGACGGGGAAGGCGGCGGGTACTGGCGCTTCGACTTCCGCAGCCGGCGCGGCTGCAGCAGCGCGAGAGAAGGAGGAGCGCATGAAAGCGGCGAGGGCGGAGGTGGAGGCGCACGCCGCCGCGCTCGAGGCGCATCGATCCGCCGTCTTTAAATTGCAGGCGTTGCTGATTCGCGACGTGTACTCCAGCGGGACTGATATTTTCAACCTTGGCGCCAGCAGCAGCAGTGGCAGCAGCGGCAGCGGCAGTAGCAGCAGCAGGAGCAGTACAGTCACACAGGATACAGGCAAACCGGATACAGTCACGCCACCTACAGTCACACCATCGTTCGACGTGCGAGCGAGCCAGTTGGCAGCGGCGGGCAGATTGCTCAGCAGAAGCGAGTACGATGCTATAGTAGAGGAACACGCTATAGGGGGGTTTTGTGGTAACCCGCTTTGCAACCAAGTGTTACAAGGGCGGTACGGGGAAGGAAAAGGAGGGTTTAAGCTTGTGAGGGCTGAGGGAAAAGTTTTTAAGAAGGCGGAGATTTCTAGGTTTTGCAGCGCTGTGTGTATGCGTACGAGCGGTAGTGTAGCTCTGTCGCTGCCGGAGCATAGAGAGTTGCTCTATAAGGAGGATTTGCAGGGGGTGCTGGATGCAGCAGGGGTGGGGAAGGTTGGGGAGGTGCGCGAGTGGGTGGGGGATGAGAGTATGGGAGAGAGGATGGAGGAGGAGGAAAAGGGAAGAGATAGTGCCAGCAGCGCTGGTAGCACGAGTGCCAACACCACGAGTACCTACACTGACAGCAGCAGCAGCAGCAGCAGCAGCACCACCACCAACAGCAGTTCTAGCAACTCTCTATCTCGACCACTACAGCTGAAGGAGATCACTCCAGGGGGTGCTGACGCAGGGGGTGCTAGCGCAGGGGCAGATGGGGCAGCAGCGGAGGCACTGTGTCCGTCTGAAGGCTTTCAGTCTGCAGTGCATGATGCGATTGAAGGGTACGTTCCTCGGCATGGTACTGAGACGCTCAATATAGGGTACGTTTCTCGGGGAGAGAGAGGGGAAACGAGAGGGGGAGATGGGGGAAGAGAGAGAGCGGGAGAGAGGAGAGGAGGGCGGGGGAGAGGGGAGAGCATCGCGCAGAGCATAATGTCTCAGGTGGTTGCTGGGTCAGGGACGTGTGACGAGGTGTTTGCAGCGAACGTGGGGATGGACGGGTGGGTGGGGGGCGAGCAGGAGAATGATAGGGGCGGTATGGGGGTGGGAGTAGGGGATGGTGGGACGATAGACGCTGCACCTGCAGCAGAAGCAGGGGAAGTAGGAGGAGCAGGAGCAGCAGGAGGAGTAGGATCAGGAACAGGAACAGGAACAGGACCAGCAGAAGTAGCAACAGGGAAAGCAGAAGCACGAGGGGCAACAGTGACAGCAGCAGAAGCTGAGGGGCGAACAGCAGAGCTGCGACCAGCTTTAAAGAAAGCAGTACATGGTGAGAAGGGCGGGCGGGCAGTAGGCATGCCGAGGGAGGAGGGGAGACACGTGACCTGGGCGGCAGATGACAGGCTGGCAGTGGCACAGACTGAAGGGAGGGGAGGAAGAGGGAGAGAAGGGGCGGGTGGGGGAGAGCAAGAACCAGGGAGCGCAGGACAGGAGGAGAGGCGGGGAGAGGGGAGTGTAGCAGGGGAGAGAGGTGGGATGAAGCGGGGAGGTGGGAGGGGGAAGAAGCAGGGAGCAGTGAGAGAGGGGGCAGTGAGGGAGGGGAGCAGTGGGATGGTTGACAGAAGCGAGGATGGCGTGGAGGGGAGAGTAGGGTGGGGAGTGGAGGGAGGGGCAGAGGCAGCAGCAGCGGGTCGCTGTGGATGGTTTGAGCCTCCTCCCCCTGGCTTCATGATGCAGGTGAGGGTTCGGGGGGGTTGGGTTGAGGGTTTATTGGAGTTACCTGGTTACCACACGAGCAGCAGCGGGTCGCTGTGGATGGTTTGAGCCCCCTCACTCAGGCTTCAAGTTGCAGGTGACGGGGTTGCATTGCATGAGATGGTTACTTGGTTACCACACGAGCAGCAGCAGGTCGATGTAGATGGCTGGAGGCTCCTTGCCCAAGCTTTATGATTCAGGTGAGGGGGTTGCATTACATGAGACAAGAGAGAGAAGGGTTACCTGGTTACCACATAATGCTGGCTGGAAGCATGTCCCTTGCCCTCTAATCCTTCCTACCCGTTCCCTTGCCCTGTCTCTTTGCCTGCCCTCGCACCAGCTCCCCTTTCACTGCACTCTTCTCATGGCTCTTCAGGAGTGGGTCACTACCGATACAATGGAACCCAATCTCTTAAAGCCTTCAATACCATCTCCATCCCCTTCTCTGCCTGCCTGTCCGCCTGTCTGTTGGTGCTTGTCTGCCTGTGTGTGTGCCTGCCCCCTCGCCAGCTCCCCTTTCACTGCACTCTCCTCATGGCTCTTCAGGAGTGGGGGTCACTGCCGACTCGGATGGAACCACCTCTTTTTTATGCTCGATTTTAAATTTCCATTCTTTTTTCTGCCTGTGTGTCTGTCTGCCTGTCTGTCTGCCTGTCTGCCTGTCTGTCTCCCTGCCCTCCCGCCAGCTCCCCTTTCACTGCTCTCTCCTCATGGCTCTTCAGGAGTGGGTCACGGCTGACTCACTTTGTCTCATCTACCCACCACAACCACCAGCACCTTCAGCACCACAACAGCCAGCAGCACAGCAATCACAGCAATCAGCAGCACAGCAAACACCATGTGTGGAATCAAGCCTGGAAGCAAACGGGTGGGAGTATCCCGCTCTCCTGGGTTCCGTGAATGATCCTGCCAGAGCTGCTGAGATTCGGAGGACTCTTGGAGATGGTCTGGGAAGGGAGACGGCAGGAGTGGCGGAAAGTTTAGGGCTGCTGCTGCCTCTGTCGACTGTAGAACATGCACTGGTGAGCTTGTTTTGGTAATGCCCTTGTGGGTCGACTCAAAGCATTCGAAGGACTTTGGGGAATGGGCTGGGAGGGAGACGGCAGGGGTGGCGGAAAGTTTAGGGCTGCTGCTGCCTCTGTCGACTGTGGAACATTCTTAGGAAAGCTTGCTCTTGTGATCTTTCTGCTGCTGCTGCTGCTGCTGCTGCTGCTACTAGAGGCACTCACTCACAGTTAACTTCCTGCCTCTCCACTTCTGCCTATGGATGTAACGCTGGTCTCAGGTTCCCTTCCTTCTTCCTCCCTCCACCCCCCCCTCCCCCCTCCTCCCCTCCCCCTCCGTCACCCCCCCATGCCCAGACTCGTCTGCTGGCCACTTTTGCCTTCCGGTCGCCCCTTGCCTCCCTCCCCCGCCCCCACTGGCAACTGCTGCTGCTGCTGCTGCTGTCGTTTCAAATAGCTGCCTCTCCCTTCTCCCCCAATCCCCTCCAACCTCCTTCAGACTCGTCTGCTGGCCACTTTTGCCTTCCGCTCGCCCCTTGCCTCCCTCCGCCGCCCCCACTGGCAACTGCTGCTGCTGCTTCTGCTCGAGGCTCTGTCAGTCAACTGCCTGCCTCCAGCTGCTTCAGATGCACTCAACACACACCAGCATCAAGTATACAAGGTAAGACCGCAGTATGATCACGCACATGTTTTGTGACTGAGACAGCACCTGCTGCTGCTGCTGCTCGAGGCTTGGTCAGTCAACTGCCTTTTTCGAGCTGCTTCAGATGCACTCAACACTCATGGGTATCAAATTTACAAGGTACATGCTTGTAGCTTCTGCAGATTCTTCTTCCGCTACAGCTGCAGCTGCAGCTGGTGCTGCTGGTGTTGCAGTTGCTGCAGCTGCTGCTACTGACAAGTGTTGGGGTGTGTGCTTGCCTTACTGCGTGCATGTGTGTGCATGCAGGTGGGAGCAGCAGCAGGTGTGGACAGGGACAACTACCTCTTGCTCCGGCAGATGCTGCTTCCCAGGGGGCCTTCAGTTAGCAACCCGAACCAAAACACAAGCGCTGCTGCTTAGACGGAAGATTATTCAGCATCATCAGCAGCAGCATCAGCAGAAGCCGCAGCAGCAGGAGTTGACAGGGACAACTACCGTACCTGTTGCTCAGGCAGATGCTGCTGCCAAGGGGCCCTCCTGCCGGCAACCCGATCCAAAACACAAACGCTGTCGCTTAGAATCACTGAAACACAAATTCCAGACTTGAACGGTGCATTGTCTCGCTTCTGCTGCAACATCAGCAGCATCACGAGCAGCATCACAAGCAGCATCACGAGCAGCATCAGCATCAGCACCATCACCAAAAGCAGCACCATCAGCGGAGCATCAGCAGGTTTGGACAGGGACAACTCCCTCTTGCTGAGGCATATGCTGCTACCAAGGGGGCCTTCTGGCCGTGATTCAAGTCAAAACACAAACGATGCTGCTTGGAAGTTACAGCACAATTGCTCCCTCGCCTCTCAACTCAACAGCAGCATCAGCAGGTTATTGTGTTGGCCATTCTATGTATCAGAGTGTTGGGTTTTTTCTCTGTAACGAGTTGTAGGTTTCCATGTAGAACCACTATCATAATTGCTGAATCTCACAACACAAGCCTGAAACAAACAGTGACTTGGGAGATGGGCAAGCCTAGCAGAGCACAAGTCATTGGCTTCAAAATGTGGAGCCATTCCAACCAAAGTCTGATCTCTGCACAAAACATAGGAAAACCATTAGTGGATGAAGCTGGGTACACTACAAAGCGGCACAATGTTGTGCATTCATCTACTGATGACAAGCATGTAGACAATGGCACTCTGATAAATGCCCTCTATCCAAGACCTGAATACAGGCACGGCACACAAATAAGCACACAGGACGGCATGAAACCTCATGGTTCAGAAACAAGAGTGAAACCTGAGCCACGTACCTTCACGTCATAAAATTTGATATAAAAGCGATTGGGTGGAACAGTTAACTTGGCCTCAAGAATCTCAGAAATGGCAGCACTGAGTTTTTTATTCGTGTCCGGACCCAACCCGCCGATTGAAATCAGTTCGGCGTAAGCTGCAGGAGCTTCCGTCCCAGCAAAGCACATTGGGATTGACGTTTTCACGGAAATCATCACATACTGCAAGCCATGAAAACGCATGATTGAGTTCAGACTTGTTCCCTAGGTAGAACCCCTCAAGACTTCGGAAACTAGAAGTGACGAAAATGCTTACTGCTTCAGGCTTGCCGATAACTCTAGCCACGACTTTACTCAAGTCCTTCATGACATCGCTGATCACAACATTATCACCAGGTACGTTCGTCTGGACGTTGAGAGTCGGCATGTCGGTTAAAGCGGCGTCCACAGATAGAGCTAGTACGTAAAAGGACAGAAATAAAGCATGTACTATGCCAGAAGAAAAGAGACGGAAGAGGCGCGGAATGAGGAAATAGCCGAATTTACAGCCGAGAATATGTCCCAGCCCAGTCCCTACACCAGTTGGGCCCTGGGGAGTAATCGTGACTTCTATTTGCCAACCCTATCCAACCAATCCATTGTTTCAAAAGAAAGGCCATGCATCGCAAAACAACTTACTGAACCGTACAGATATCCAATGAACTGGAAAGCTCTGTTTGTTTCGTTCAATCGCAGCCATTCCAACTTCTCTAGTGCAGTGCATCTAGGTGGTTCCCTCCCTACGTTGCGCAGATTCATCCAGACTCGATGCAGTGAGGTTGTGTGGAGTGGTCTGTGGTGCAACGGAGGTGTATTCACTCACCAATCAAAATACGAAACATAAGATATAAATAATTGGTTGAAAGGAGATAGAGTTTACTACACAGAAACGAGACTCACCGCAAAATGAGTACGTAGGGGACTGAAGACTAATGGATGGGGGAACCACAGGGGATTATAGACGGCTAGCCGCCAGTTATCCTTCCCAAACGCTCTCTGCGCTTCTGACAGGTGTGTTCTGGTCTCGACTCGCGTCTTCACTAATATGGTGTAACTGCGTTCGGTCGCGGATTGGATACTGAGATTCAATTCTAGGTTCGAGCTTGAGGATTGTTGCTACATTGCTGCTTCGATTGTAGATTTCGCCTTTTTCGAAAGTGACGTTCAGCAATGGGGTTCGGCCGGCAGCCGGTAGCTGCTGACGCGTACCCGGCATCGCCGCTCGGCAGAAGCATAACGCGAGGGTTCGCCGTGGAGCTCTATTTCGACACGGCTCTGGAGAACCAGATACTCAGGGTACGTCGATTCCGAGAAGCGCATAGAGTCTTCGAATTTCTCATTGGTCGTAAGAATGGAAAATATGTATAGTTACAGCACCGAAGAATCCGCCCTCGGGGTACGGAGTAAATAAAAATTCCGAGCACTTCAGAAGGCCCAGTCTCTTTTACTGAATGCAGAGCTCTTTGACGCTTCAACGGATTTCTTTACCTTTTTCGGTTTTTTTTTCAAACGACTCTTCTTACTAGATTCCCTCCGTGCTTGTGTTCTCTCTCCGTGTGCATTCCTTTTCCTCCACACGTGAAGATTTGGAACGTGCTGGCAAGGCGACGGCTAGGGAGCTACCTGATCGAGACATCTGCCAGGCCGCATGTCAGGTCAGCAAGCAACACAGCCGCTGATATCAATGAATCTGAGTCGAGTTTAAATACGGTTGGATCATTGGAGGCTCGGGAGCCACCTGATGGAGGCATTTGGCCAGCTTCCGAGCAGGACGAGTATGGTTTTCACGCTCTAGCTTCTCCCTCTATTTTCCGTCCTCACTTCCCTCGTTGACCGTGTTTCTTCCCCTTCATTCTCCCTCTGAACGCCTCACACAATGATCCCGGTCCCGGAGCAACCAGAGGGGCCTACCCCATTCCCCTGCTGTCCCCTTTCCCCTGCCTCTTCTTTTTTCTCTTCCCTTTCTATTCCAGTCTCTCCCTGCACACCCCGTCTGATTTGGAACCCTCTAAGCTTCGCACAGCCATAGAGAATTTCGCGCAGCAGCAGCACCCCATTCCGGTCGCCCTGGCCGCGGTTGGGAGCTTCCCAGCAGCTTCCGTGCCGCAACCCGCCTTCTCTCCCACCGCGGTCAACAACAGCAGCCATGCTTCGACAGGGAATAACTCTGTAACGAGTACAGATGGTGGGAACAGCAGCAGCAGCAGCCCAGGAGGACGTGCATCCAGTGGTGCTGCTGCTGGTGTTGTCGTTGGTGCTGTTGCCTCTGGTGCTGCTGGTGCTGATGCTGCTGCTGGTGCTGATGCTGCTGCTGGTGCCAGTCCTGGTGCTACGGGTGTTTCAATCCCAAACTCTCATCTTAGGGGAAACAACGCGGGTGCTTCCAGCACAACCATCACCAGCATCAGCAGCAGCAGCAGCCAACCTACCGACCTCACTCGCACAAGCAATAGAAGCGTTGCTGCTGCTGCCACTGCTGAGGGTTCCAAAGCAGCACCTGTGGCAACCAGCGCGTTGTTTTTCGCGCCAGTGCCTTCGATTGCTCTGCTCACACTTCACGAGCAACTACAGGTCTGTGAATCCATCCGTGTGCCGTGTGTGTTTGATACTTTCATGCATGTGTCAAGCATTTCGCTGACATGAATTTTGAGTTGACTCGATCGCAATTCGAAATTTGTAGATTTACCCTCCTTGAACTCTTGTCCATCACTGCACTGCACCTCTCTGTACCCCTCAGGAGCTCCTGAAAAGACTAGCCATTCCTTGCGATCCCAACTACCTGCCCGGATCCTGGCTGCCCGTCTGCCCGGTTGCTCAAGAGCTGCCCGAGGAAAAACTTCCCAGCAGTTTCCACACCGTTCGATCCCAAAAGCTGCCCCTTTTTGGGCACCTTTGTGAGATTGGCCTTGTGGAGTTTGTCCCATCTGGTGCTGGCAAGGTGGATGGTGGCATGGCTGGGGTTGCTGTGATTAGTAGTGGTGATGGGGAGAAAGGGTGGGGAAGAGACAAGGAATGTGGGGTGGTGCAGGGGCGTGTGATAGAGCACTACTCCTTTACACTAGGAGGCGACTTCATGTGACTACTGAACACTATCACCAGACCAGAGGGTACTATGGTACATGATACAGTAATACTCCACGCTATTAACTTACTATCTTAACTCCTTGCTTGGCAGTTCACGTGCTGACTGCATTTGTGTAGGTTCAGGGTAAAGAGCTTTCAGATCAAGGTTTGCAAATAGATACAACTCATTGGTACTGCAAGTGACTGAACCTGCCACAATATCCCCAGCGCTTGACTCTCGCGATCCAATCTACAACGATTTTTTCCAGAGAAGGACTTTGTATGCATCAACGTCTGTGTTTCTGACTAGGATCATGGGCAGGAGGGCCCCTGGGTAGCAGCATCTGCCTGAGGAGGAGGTAGTAGTTGTCCCTGATTAAACTTGGTCTGAGATGGATGAGATAAATAATCAAGCTTAGGAGGCGGCCTCCTTCTTGAAGTGATTGCCACCGGTCAGTAGCTTGAATGCGTAGAAGAGGGTCATTATGGCACTGCGATTTATCACAAACAGGGACAGTATGAGCACATATGGTAAGGTTTAGGGAATGGCCTGTGGCGAGATCGCCAAAGATTTGCTCAAACGTGCAGTCATTAGCTAGCAGCGTTTGTGATCCCGCTTGCACAGGGAGAGGCACACGAGCTCACAAGGAACAAACATACCCTCATCCAGCAACTGGGGTCATTCGCTAGCAGCGTTTGTGATCCCGCTTGCACGGGGAGAAGCACACAAAGTGTCGAAAAACAAACATACCTTAGTCCGGCAACGACTCCGGCTGGAAAAATCTTCTGAGTGGTCATGTAGCGGTCGCCAAGAACGTAAGTCAATGCGCCTCCAATGGCTGCGCATTACCAAAAGGCGGAAGTGAATGGATGCACACGCGGCTGGTAACCATGCCGTCACCAAGAAATAACAAAGACTGAACGAGGAGAAACGAGGCATATTGCACGGACCGAGTTGCGCGAAAATGGCTGCAAACGAGTTCTTTCGCTGCTTGAAAAGCTTGAGCTGGATTGCCGCTATTAAACAGAGAATCGCTCCTGACGCTACTCCGCCAATGAGGGACGCTGTGCTTCCCTTCCGTAAAAAACCAATGAGCCCGCCAAGGATGAGCAGCGAGCCATACGGAATGGTGAAACAAAAGTCGTGCATGTTGAAAGGCGGGGAACTAAAGAACTACTCCGGAGGGAAATGTGGTGACAGTAAACTATGGAGCTCACAACGGAGACGACAGGGATAGCTTTTAGGAAAGAACTAGGGAGAAAAGCTTGACCAAGATCGTGGATTGGAGGCTCCAATTTCTGCGTTCTGGCTTTGCTGGTCGGTGTCTGAGGGCGTGGTCAGGTTGCACAAAAAACAATCCTCTGCGGGTCGCGTTACCACAAAACGCGAATGTAGCCACTAATATTGCTGACTTCAGGACACGATCAAAATGAAACAAGTGCTGATTGTGCTAGGCGTCAAAACGTCATTCGCAAGACTTTCGCACGTGCGATACGGTGTCGAGCAGTGCCTGATCGAGGCCTAGCTTCCCAGGTGTTCCCACAAAGATGAGGAAGATTTTCGCTCAAAGACTACAATTGTCGCAATGCTTGTCTATTGCGTGGTGGCCTAGTTACATCGGTGACATCCACCTGTGCACGAACTCTTCACTCTGATTCTGCGCGAAGTGATTGTTACGTGCTCAAGCTGCGACCCTGGTCTGGCAGGGTTGTGTCCCGCGTACGATTATTTTTACGGGAATGTGTACCGAAAAGGAACCGCAATTGCTGCTGTTTCAGATCCGCAAGACGGAAACGCAAATGCTGTACATGCTGTACCCGGTAAAAACGCAAGACGAAAACGCACACACTGTACACGGAAAAAACGCAAATGTCAGTTTCTCCATTTCAGTCTAATGACCCAGCCTGATTGTACAGAATCTAGTGTAAAAGCGGCAACAGTAACGTCGGAAATTGGTAGCCTGTATACAAATGAAAGATCGTGGAATTTGGATGTCACAGGGAAGACATTAAACCTTCATACTACAGTTCGATATTTTCTACAATTCTTGAAACTGGGACATCTTTGCAAATGCTTTAGTAACGTCCCACGAAGATACCCTGTTCCCTGTCCTCGTTCCACTTGTCAACCTGGAAGGGAATACACAGCACAAGGACACATAAATCATTGACATCAGGCCAGACATAGCACAGCAAGCAGGAGACTAAGCTCACTGACAAGCGGACATGCCCACTCAGATCCAAACTCCACAGCCACATGAGAAAATAACGTACCCACTCAGCAGGGCACAACGTCCGGTAGGCCTTGGCAAACTTCTGACACTCTGAGGCGCCCTCGCCCTTCTCAGCAATGCACCTGACAAATCGCACATCACAGGAGCCGCAAGGATAATAAGAAACGAGGCGAAGTGCTGACTCAACGCACACCATCTGTTTGAACTCAGGTTCCGGGAATATCGATTAGAAAGCATGCTGGATCGGGAAATGACGCGGAATCTGAAAATGAGTCGGAATGGGGAGACAAAGAAGAGAGCTGCGAAGTCATGGAGCGAGCGTGGCCGTACTTGTGGAACTCGTTGTAGCAGGTGAAGCAGTGCTTCGCCTGGTTCGCTGTAGGGAACCGGAAATCCATCGGCACTGTCTTGACATCATCCACCTGAGCAACACAATGACGAAAAATCACCAAGGGACGACGAAAGCAAGACACATTACACATTATGTCTGGCGAGAGATGGATCTCGGAAACCAAATGAAGGAGCTGGTAGAGCAGAACGGGAGGCACCGAGCCGAAAACGGAAAAGGCAATAATGATAAGTGAAGAATATAAAAGCGCAAGGTTGGATTCGTTCTTACAGTGATGACGCGCTTTCCCTCGACCTCCGCCATCACGTCCAAGATCGCAACCGGAATACCGCCTTCAGAATCAAAACGAGGTCAACCGTTAGATATTAGTCCCAAACAAAACTAACGCGTGTCCGCGTAGACCACGAAAACCGAGTAAACCATGCAAACCACGCATAAGCTACGCACCTGCGAAAGTTATCACTCAAGCAGTGCTTGAGAACGGTTATGGGCGGCTCTATAACTCGAGGTGGCGGAGCGTGGAGAGCGTGGAGAGCGTGGAGAGCGTGGAGCTTTTAGGGCTGTTCTAGCAGTTCGGCGAAACGCATACGACAGGGAAAAGCGGGAGCACAGACAGAAGCGGGGGGTGGCGGGCGGAGGAGGAATCAGAAACCAGGGGGAGCAATAAAGGGGAGGTCTAGGGGAAGCTGCTCGCTATTGTGTTACGATCTCGCGGCTTATAGTGGCCACGTGCATACAGAAAACTGGCTTTCATGTCAGAATGAATGTAAACCAGGCCTGCCTGCACATTTGCACATTCATAACACTGAAAAAAAACTGATTTAACGATGTGTAATTTAAATCGAATTCAGCATTGCGATAGAGGATAATTTTACGTTCCACTAATATCCCACGACGTCACCTAACTTCAAAAAGGCAGGGATGGTGTTTATCTCAAATTTACGAGCAAACAGGAAGCAATGGGTGCGCTGTCCAGCCAGAGTGCAAGGCCGACTCCCTGATAATGTCAGCGTGTATATGGTCTCTGCTGGCACCATGAAATCTTGCTGCAATACAGAAAATGGAGGAGAAGGGTTAGTTTCAAATATGGCAAGCAATAGAACAATTTGTGGAACCTACATGAGATTGTCCCATTGTGACCTTCTGACCTGTATTTTGCGGATAAAATCAGGATTGATTTCTTCCGGGGTGTATGAAGCAGGGTGCCGTGAAATCGCCCCGCCCCAGTGCACATACAGCACACTCCGCGTGTCCACATTCTCAGGGTCTTCAATCTGCCAGCGAAAGAAAGAGCAAAGAACTGAGCTTCAAGGTTATTTCTGGTTGCCCCACAGCGCAGGTGCATCTGCGAACAGGCCTGGAGACTGCTATCGTTGCACGTAAGTCACAAAACTGAACAAAGGTCACCTCATACAGGGGAAAGGCAATGAAAGTAAATACAATGGTATATCATATATGTCAGCAATGATTTCATGCTACACCACATACATACCGCAAGAACTGTTTGGATGTAGCTTTCATCAGGGATCTGCCATGTCAAGGGCCCACCCCATGCCACACCATGCCATGCCATACCATAACATGCCATGCCATACCATATCATGCATGCCATGCCATGTCATCCCATGCCAGGGGCGTGCCATTGGGATAACAGTTGGGGACCAAAAATGAGAAAATTAGGTCTTGCCTCTGATGTGCTGTGCATACGGCTTACCTTCAAGTCAAATAAGAAAAAACACAGGAACATAACAATACAAAAGAAAACAAACACCAGGGGGCATCTTAGCAGGGTTGGCAACAAAGGTGACTTTTGAGGCGCCTCAAAAGTCATAACAATACAAAAGAAAACAAACACCTGGGGGGCATCTTAGCAGGGTTGGCAACAGAGGTATAACAAACTGACTGCTAACAAGCTGCATGGCTGTCTACACATGTCAAAGATATTTTCACAAGAAGGAACCAGCATGCCGTCACATACCTCAGAGAAAGTCTCTACGGAGAGGTCATAGTACTTCCGGTCCCTCACAATGAGGGCTGCAGAGAGGCCTCTGAGAAGATATCAGCATGTCACCACCACATACCACTACATACCACCACGTACCTCAGAGAAGGTCTCTACGAAGAGGTCATAGTACTTCCGGTCCCTCACAATGAGGGCTGCATGGGCACGAGTTAGAGAAAACCACTGTACACGGGGCAAACATAGCAGAGAGGACAAGCACAGAAGACAGAGAAGACAGCAAGTCGACTCTTCACATGTCTCAGAACTTTTGGTCCCTCACAATGAGGGCTGCATGGGCACGAGTTGGAGAAAACCACTGCATGCATCGCAGAGAAAGCAAGCATAGCAGTCAGGGCCACGAGGAATACGGGTACAAAGGAAACAAGGAAACGGGCAACAAAAATAACATTAGCGATGGTATATACATGAATCGGTAAAAAACCCACTCCAATCTCACAAAAAACTCCTTCCTCAACAGGTGCCACTTGGCGCGTCAATCACATGGAAAGAATGTAACAGTCTTCCGAATCCTTTCTCAGAAACAGGGTTTCGCTCCTTTCTCAATCTAGTCAGAACAATGTAACACTCCTTCCATCCCCATAATAGTCTGCTCTGCTCACCTGCGACCCCTTTCTGAACTGGTGCCGCTTGATCGTTGGAGCCATTGTGAACACCCACCTCCACCCGCTCTCATAGCTGCGCTAGAAAAATGGGGGAAAGGGGTTACAGGGAAAGGGGAGGAAGGTGACAGGGGAGGAAGGTGACAGGGGAGGAAGGTGAAAGGGGAGGAAGGTGACAGGGGAGGAAGGTGACAGGGGAGGAAGGTGACAGGGGAGGAAGGTGACAGGGGAGGAAGGTGACAGGGGAGGAAGGTGACAGGGGAGGAAGGTGACAGGGGAGGAAGGTGACAGGGGAGGAAGGTGACAGGGGAGGAAGGTGACAGGGGAGGAAGGTGACAGGGGAGGAAGGTGACAGGGGAGGAAGGTGACAGGGGAGGAAGGTAACAGGGGAGGAAGGTGACAGGGGAGGAAGGTGACAGGGGAGGAAGGTGACAGGGGAGGAAGGTGACAGGGGAGGAAGGTGACAGGGGAGGAAGGTGAAAGGGGAGGTAGGTGACAGGGGAGGAAGGTGACAGGGGAGGAAGGTGACAGGGGAGGAAGGTGACAGGGGAGGAAGGTGACAGGGGAGGAAGGTGACAGGGGAGGAAGGTGACAGGGGAGGAAGGTGACAGGGGAGGAAGGTGACAGGGGAGGAAGGTGACAGGGGAGGAAGGTGACAGGGGAGGAAGGTGACAGGGGAGGAAGGTGACAGGGGAGGAAGGTGACAGGGGAGGAAGGTGACAGGGGAGGAAGGTGACAGGGGAGGAAGGTGACAGGGGAGGAAGGTGACAGGGGAGGAAGGTGACAGGGGAGAAGGCGGGTATTGGGCAAGGAGCCATGGTGAATACCCACCTCCACTCGCTCACATAAGAGGGGAGTGGGCAAGGAGGATGTTGGATAAGAGGGCAAAGAGGATGTTAGGCGGAAGGGGGTTTGGGGGAAATGAGCTTCCGGGGGGGGAAATGGGGAAGTGCAAGTTCAGGAAGGGTCAGCGTGGGGAAGGAAGGTGGCCGAATGGGTGGGGAAAGGGATGGTTGGCAGGAAGAACGTTCGGGCGTTTAAGCGCTAATCGTGAGAGCTATGGAAAGAAAACCCATACATACTTATAAATGACACATGCTAATCACAGGCCATTACCTGGTGTTGAAAGCTGGCGTTGGTGGCTAAGTGGTAGTCCCAATCCCAAACATCATGGCGTTTTCCTCCAAAACAAGGTAAAAGGTGAGGGAGGTGCAGTGGGGACACATCATGCATTGTGTTTTGAGTCGACTCAATACACGACTCATTGAGTGAGGGAGGTGCGCTGGGGACACATCGTGCATCCGGACCAATGCGCGGTTTTACCTTGTCATGAATTGAAGGGGCGCCTGAAGAATCACCTTGTGATCAATGTAAGGGGCAACTCAAAAGACACCTTGTGAGGAACCTGACGTTGGTGGCGAATAGGCAGTCCCACACGTAGGTAAAGTTGAAGATGGGAGGTGCAATGGGGACATGCCGTGCAAGAATCATAGCAGGCGGTCGGTGATAAGTTTTAGATGCGACTCAAATCGCTCTGACCTGGTGATGAAGCTGACGTTGGTGGCGAACAGGTAGTCCCACACGTAGGTGAAGTTGAAGATGGGGAGACACCTGGATTCAATGCATGTGGACAGGCGTTGGAAAAACAAGCGCAGAGGTGCTTTGACAAGAGTGGAAGGTAGAGAGCAGCGGGGCACATTGAAGATGGAGAGGGAGGCATCAAGATACAGGGAATGTGGACATACATTGAAGAAGAGTAGCAAGGGTGGAGGACAAGGAGCAGTGGGCAGTGCAGTGAATGTGGACAGACGTTGAAGAAGAATGACAGGGTTGGAGATGCCGGATCAGCACGGGCAGCATCACAACCTCACACAACTGCAAAGCACCTCATGTCACCTCACAGAATCACCCATAAGACACTGCCACCCACCTTACACCACCACCCACTCACTTATCTGACACGGGCACAAACCGCTGGTTGCCCTGATCAGCAAGGGCAGCATCACCACCTCACATCGCCTCACACAACCTCACAGCATCTCACACCACCTCACACCACCATTCACTCACTTATCTGACACAAGCACGAATTGCTGGTTGCCCGAATCCTCGAGGGCAGCCGTCAGAAGCAGATATCACATCCTGACAACACCACCCATCTCAACACCTCAATAACTCAACATCGCCCATCTCAACACATCTCACTTGTCCGACACAAGCACGAATCGCTGGTTCCCCGGATCCTCGAGGGCGGCAGCCAGAAGTCGTTTCTCTGCTCGAATCAAATTCGGCCCGCCCCATGAGATCTGGATGGGGAATGGGCATGCGCATGGGTATGGGCATGGGCATGGGCATGCGCATGGGTACGGGCATGGGCATGGGAATGGGCATGGGTACGGGCATGGGCATGGGAATGGGCATGGGTACGGGCATGGGCATGGGCATGGGCGTGGGTACGGGCATGGGCATGGGCATGGGCGTGGGTACGGGCATGGGCATGGGCATGGGCATGGGCATGGGCATGGGCATGGGCATGGGCATGGGCATGCTCACCCGCACTGCCGGCACCTGAGTTCCTTTGAAGCCTCAGAATTCGTCTGATTGTACAAACAACAGCATCGACATGGCAGGTGCTCACCCGCACACCCAGCACCTGAGTGCCTTTGAAGCTGGGCGAATCCACCACTTCATCTAGAGTGAGTGAAATCAAGCATCCTGCAAAAGCAGCATTCTCAACCGCACTCCCGGCACCTGAGTGCCTTTGAAGCTGGGCGAGTGGACCACATCGTCCAGAGTGAGAGGCGTCTCAAGATGATGTCTGAACCCATAACGCATGAGAGTATGATGCGTGATTGCACAACTCACCCGCACTCCCGGCACCTGAGTGCCTTTGAAGCTGGGCGAGTGGACCACATCGTCCAGAGTGAGAGGCGTCTCAAGATGATGTCTGAACCCATAACGCATGAGAGTATGATGCGTGATTGCACAACTCACCCGCACTCCCGGCACCTGAGTGCCCTTGAAGCTGGGCGAGTGGACCACGTCATCGAGAGTGAAGTTGGGAGTTGACACATGCACGTGCACCGAGTACCGCCCCTGGTGGCTCTGTTAGAAGAGGGAGAAATAAATTGATATGAATGGCACGTTGGTAACCAGACTTGAAACCACATTATCGTGAGTGAAGTTGCGCGTTGACACATGCGCAACTTCACCGGTTAGCGCCCCTGGTGGCCCTAAGGATTGGGGAGAGACGAAGGAGGGAGACAGAGGGGGAGAATGGAATGGAGGGGGAATGGGGGTAGAATGGGAGGAGAAGCTAGGTGAGTCCACCACATTATCCAGAATGAAGTTGAGCATTGACACATGTACATGCACGGAATATCACCCCTGATGGCCCTGACCTGAGAGATTCAGATGCTAAGAGATGCCTCGCTTACTTTGAAGAATCTCTCCCAAACAGGCGCGAGCGGTAGCGCGCCTCGCACGATGAACAGGAACGCGATCTTAGGAGCCACGACATGCGTCCTCCCGACGGCTGCCAGCTCATCATCCTTATCCAGCTGCGCGAGCGCTCGCCGCGTCAGCTGCTCGTCCACGTCATCAAGCAGACCCGAGTCCCACACGGGGAGACGCTCGGACGCTCCGCCGAGAATCACGAGCAGGATGGCGAAAACGGGTAACCACATGAGGAGGATCGCAAGGCGGTTGATGGCGACGGTGTCGCGAGGCTTGGGGAGGAGCACGCGGGGAGCTGCCTTAAAGCCAATGTGCGGCGCGGGACTCTCCTTCGGCATGATGAAGGGTTAGCACGAATGAGAGAGATTCGAAGAATCTGTACGCACCACCACGCTAGAAACCGATAGTTCACGGAACCTTCCGGGAAGATGGGACGGAGCTTCGGCTAAGATAGACGCTCGAGTGATGAGAGCTAGGAGCGACTAAGACCGTATGAGGCTTGCCTTACTGCGGGCTCCCTGGAATGTCCAAGAGACGTGTTGTTGGAACTTCTAAGGATCTCCAAGTTTGAAATTCCTAAAGGCCGGTCAGCAGGCGGGACGGATTCCTGGTTGATCGCTTCGTTTTCCACTCACACTCACGAACTACAGCTGAAATGTCGAAGTTACTGTCATCCCAGTATAATAGCGAAACATTGTTTAACAGAGCATCGAATCCGAGAGTGTCATGACAAGCTAAAACTGCAATTTACGTGCTTTCAAGCAGTCAGCACGCCTAGAAAAACGACGGCATTGATTGCAGTAAACTCTGGCAGGCTAGCTCTCCCTGACCGTGTAAGCGTGTGTCTCTCACTCGCTCATGATTGATGCGTCAGTGTGACAGTCCATCACCTGAAAATTTCACAGAATCGCAACCTTCGTTTCTAGTACGTTTTTTTGAAGACTATTTCCGCAACTCAGACACTGTGGTGCAGTCTCGGCTTTCACTGAGCAGGGAGAAACGCCGATAGGCAAACCTAAGCGCAGCAGGAATTCGATGTTCCCTAGACCGTACTGCACGAGTTCACGCATTTTAGCTCGGTAGAACACGGTTGAATAGCACTAAGAGGGGACTTGTGTGATTCTGACTGAGGTTCTTGTAGAGGAGCCCGCGAAAAGAAGTGCGGACAGAGAGGTGATTGAAGAGAGGTGCACCTTGATCAGGAAGAAAAATCCTCGAGATGCGAAAAATCCTCGAGATGCGAAAAATCCTCGAGATGCGAAAAATCCTCGAGATGCAAAAAATCCTCGAGATGCGACTCCTCCTTGATCATGAGCGCATTTTCCTTGAGCGCCCCGCCGGTTTTCCTAGCCCCTTTCCTCCAGGCACCGTTTGAGAGCTGAAGCGCCCTGTGTATGGCCTCAAGCAGGCTCCCTGCGAATGGCATGCCAAGCTCGCCTCCACTATTCACTCTCTTGGTCTTTTCATTCGCACTTCCCCTCACAGGCTTTACATTCTTGCCTATGTGGACGGCTTGGTGCTGCTTGCTGAGGATTCTGCCGATTTGGCTACTGTCAAGAAGGCCCTGTAGGCGCGTCTTGTGTGCAAGGATCTCGGCGAGCTCCGTCACTATCTTGGCATGGAGATTCGTCGTGATCATGCTACCCGCACCATCTCTCTCTCGGAGTCGTTCTACATCCACTCCATCCTCCCGCGGTTCGAGATGTCCCAGGCCAAACCGGTCTCCACCCCTCTTCCGTTTAACCATTAGCTCACTGCCCCTGCCGTCCCTGCTCTCTCCTCAGAATTGCGACCCTATCCAGAGCTCGTTGGGTCACTCATGTATACTATGATGTGCACTCGCCCCGATCTTGCTTATCCCCTCAGTGTCCTCTCTCGCTTTATTGGCCTTGGTCGCCACACTGACGTGCACTGGGCGGCAGCCAAGCGCGTTCTCCGCTATCTTCGCGCTACATCTGATCTTGCACTCACTCTTGGTGGCTCTTCTCCCCCCATTCTTTCCGGTTACAGTGATTCCTCCTACGCTGATTCTCGCCCTGATCGCCGCTCCTCTCAGGGTTATGGTTTTACTCTTAGAAGTGGTCTCATCAGCTGGCGCACCACTCGTTCATCCTCTGTCTGTCTTTCCACCTGTGAGGCTGAGTTGTACGCAGGCACATTGGCAGCTCAGGAGGCTCGCTCGCTCTCCTTTCTCCTTGCTGAGCTTGGTCACTCTCAGCAGTCTGTGACGCTTTCCTGTGACAGTGCGAGCACAATTCATGTCACTGAAAATCCTGTCTATCACGCCCGCACCAAACACATAGAGGTCCGCTACTACTTTGTGCGTGAGCTGGTGCAGTTTGGTTTCCTCTGCCTTCGCAAGGTGGCCGCCGACGCCAACCTTGCTGACATTTTCACCAAGGCACTCCTTCGTGCGCCGCACCGTTTCTACGTCCGCGCGCTTGGTCTCACTCGTCTCGTCACTTCTGGGGGTGTTTTGGTTCGCTAGGTGTTCTGCTCCAGAACTTCACCTACCCTGGGGGTGTGTTGGAGAAGGCTAGTGTTCGCTCTGCATTTCATTTTGGCCTTATATTATTTTTCGGCCAATTTAAGACTTAGTTTCATTTTTGGTTCATCTTAGGTTCACTTTGCAGTTTGTCTCTGCATTGAACATACCTTAGGTTCAGTTTAGTTTCCCAACCCTATCTTTCAAATGTCTCTCGACACTTTCTCTAGTGCAACTTTTTCCTCTCGTTACTTCACTCACTAGCCATGGCTGCCACTCACCTAACTTCAACAGCCATCTCTACGTCCATGGTTGCTATCAAATGAGAGGACCAGCGTCCTAAGACCGCCTCAGCGTAGGTGCAAGAGATGGGATGTCAAGAGCGTCAAGATCACCCTCAGGTGCTAGATGCATTGCACAGAGGTGAGGAGCCACAACTGCAAGGAAAACCATCTCAAACTGCCGGCGTCAATGTTAAGGGCATGAGCACCCCTGACAGACGAAGGGTGGGCAGGAGCAGAGACCAACTGAATAGCGTAATCAAGGCGGCAGGTGGAGGCAAAGACGGCAACAGAAGTAACAAGAGCAAAGACAGATTGAGAAGAAATAGTAAGTTCAGTATCAAAAGTGGAAAGAATATGAGAAATCATAGGGCAAGTGGCAGGAAGGAAATAAGAGAACAGAGGAGGAGACGTCAAAGGGGGGAGAGAACATAGGATCATAGAGTGGATATCGGGGGTTGAGCACGAGGAGGACGACTAGCCCAGGGGGAAGAGGCAAGAGATGGGTCAGGAAGGAGAGGAGGAGACAGTGGTAAACTAGGAGGAAAACGAGCTGGAGACGTGCCTAGGGAGGAAGCGAGGGACCGGAATCCGGGAGAGACAGTGAGGAGGGGGGAGGAGGGTAACCAGTTGAGGGTAAGAAAGGTGAAGCGCAGTCACATGCGGAGTCGACTGATGCTACTAACGCTGAGACAGCAGTTGCTACTGTTGTTATGTCACAGCGGCACCCCCAGAACTAGAATCTCTTCCAGCCGCACCCCCTGGGCAGCACCCCCAACGTTGGCAACCCCTGAACCAGCATCCCCATGGCCAGCATCCCCTGAAGTAGCACCCCCATAACCAGCATGCTCAGTAACAGCACCCCCAACGACCGGCCGCAACTGCGAGGATGGCTCGGTTGACAGCAAGGAATGCGGCTAAGGAGGTGACAGAGGAGGCGCACCCTTACGTACTAATCCCCGGCAGGCAACAATTTCCCCCATGGGCCCAACTGAGGGAAAGGGGATGACATGTGACACACCAGATGGGGCCGGACGTCGGGGAAATGGGGCAAGCGGATGTGTGGGACCAGGGGGGGGAGAGGGAATGATAAAGAGGGGAGGGGGGAAAATCGGGGTACCTCGGTGAGGGAACCGAGTGTAGAAACTGAAAGAATCTTCAAAAGTGACGTCGCGAAAGTGGAAGAAATGGTGAGAGGAGGGGTGGTAGAACAGATATTCAGAGCCATCGAGAAAGAAACCAACGACACAACGAAGTGTGCGGGCTAAGAGCATGTCCCCGCGAGGGTCACGGATGTGAGCAAAGCAGCCCCAAACATGAAACGCAGGCGTAGTACCAGGAGACCCAATCCAGAGGAGGTTCGACGAAACTTGCAACCGTGAGACATGAGGCACACGTTAAGCTGGTGTGCGGCATAGCGGACCGCAAACGACCACAAAAAAGATAGATCATGGAGGTACGAGTGATCTCCATAACCACGCCAATGCGAGGCTCAGCTACCTCATTCCCCCGTGGTGAGTTCTCGCGATTGTGAATTAGTCGCCGATGGTGAATTACGTTTTTCTAGCTATTGTAAGGAATTTTCTCGATATTGTAAGGAGTTTTCTCACTATTCCTTACAGCGACTGTCCACATCGCATACAGCAACAGCTGTTGTTCGCCCGTTACTGCTAACGGGGCTTCGCCAACTTCGCGTGCACTGTTTCACCAAACCTCGCACTGTTGGAGCAGCCGAGTCGGCCAACTCTTCGGGACTAGCCCGAACCTCGCGCCAGCGTAGCACTAGCTAGCTCGCACGCACCGCGTTACCGTTGTGCTGAGCGATGTGCTTCGTTCTGTGCTCCAGTCTGTGCTCCTGACACAAGGCAATCATGGCCTTGTTGTCTACGTACAGAACTGGAGAAGAACGAGGCTGCTCTCCCAAGTCAGTCAGCAGGTAGGTGAGCCAGCGTAGCTCCTGTGCAGCCATGGCCCCTGCGTAGATCTCAGCCTCACAACTGGAGCTGAGAACCGAAGACGAGCAGGTAGACCGCTAGGAAACAGAGCCGGAACCGAGGCTGAAGGTGTAACCCTGTGACGACTGCTGCGTAGCTGAGTCGTCAACCCAAGAAGCGTCTGCGTGACTAGTGAGGACAACTGGACCCCGTCCTCCAAGCACGAGCCCCATGCAAGACGTACTGCACAAGTAACGCAGTATCCTCTTTGAAGCATCCCAGTGCACTTTTCGGTGCCTACCGGGAGCCACGTAGCGAGCCGGAAGGCTGAGAGGGTACGTGAGGTCAGGTCGTGTGCACGTCATCACGTACATGAGGCAACCCACAAGCTCTGGGTACGGACCACTCGGCTCTACGGAATCGTCCGAAGGTGGAGCTGAGAGCGAGTGGCCGGTAGACAGAGGAGTGGACTGTGGCGAGGAGAATTGGAAACCGAAGCGCTGAAGGACCTGGTGCACCATGTGTGACTGAGTCAGGGTGATGGTGCGTCGTGCTCTGTCCCGGGTGATATGCAAGCCAAGATAGCTGCGCAGTTCACCCAGGTCAGTGCAGGTGTGTCTCTTCTGAAGCTCCGACTT